TCGAGGTTGTTTACATAAGGGAATGCTGTTGTTTTGTTCCCTAAACGTGAAGGTTTAAGGTAGGTATCAACAGGACCAATTTCATAATAAATAAGTTCTTACCAGGGATGTTACGGAGCTCCGTAACCATAACCGAAACTATCGGATATCTGATATAAAAAAATATCCGTAACCGAATCCGAAATATCAGTTTCGGATAATATCGAATATGGGCGGAGCCTAATTGAGACACGTTATGTAGCCATTTTATTAGCTAATTGCATTTTCCTTTTGAAATTCCTTAAAAAATTAATATCCGTAACCGAAATAATCCGAAATTAACGGATAATCCGAGATAATTTCATATCCGCATCCGTATCCGTATCGGGTATAATAATCATTATTATATCCGTATCCGAAATTTCATATCCAGAACATCCCTGGTTCCTACATCGCAAAGAGTTGTCCAACATAAACACACCGTTGCACGAGTGTTTACTTTTTGTTGAAGTTGAAGACGCGGTAACAACATAAACAGAATAGGGTAATTTGAAACTCAAACTTTCACGACAAAACCGAACAAAACATACATACATATACTTGTACATAAATACTACATACAATTTGTATGAAGCAAGTGTTCAATCTGCTTTTACAAATTCAGTTTTTTATTTTTGTCACTAGATGGCGTTATTCAATTGTTACAACGCGCTATGTTTTCGTTTTCGAGTAACGTACAAATTGTGGCAGTTTGTTCGACTATATTGACCCCGACGACCCCATAACGGCAGGTAACCTCCCCACGGGCCCACCCGTTCCACCCCGACCACACTTTTACACACACACATGACACCGTCCTCGCCGGCCTCAAACACACAATATCGCGCATTCAACCGGGCGCCTGCGCGCGCCCGGACGCTCCACACCGGCGCCCCCGGGCGCCCCTCCGATCGATCCCCCGTCCAATTCAAACGGGGATCGAAATTACGACGGCCTGAGCCGAGGTTCGAACCCCTAGTGGTGCCCTCAGACTAAAGTCGTATCCGTCGGACAGGAGTTGGCCTTCAGCCGCTCCATAAGTCCTTCCGCGGGTTTAGAGTGCCATCTGCACTCGCCCCATAATGTCCGGTGAAGCTGTAAAGGCCAGCTACGGCCAACAGCATTAGAGTAGTCCGAAAAAAAAAACGACTATATCGTCCTCCGCTCAATCCCCAGTTCAATTCAAACGGTGATCAGAATTACGACGGCATGAGTCGGGGTTCGAACCCCTATCGGTGTTCTCAGGCTTAAGTCATATCCGTCAGGCTGGAGTTGGCTTTCAGATGCTCCATAAATCCTTTGCGGGTTTGGAGTGCCATCTGCACTTGCCCCCTGTCGTCCGGTGACGCTGTAAAGGCCAGCTGCGGCAAACAGCATTAGATAGAGTAGTCCGAAAAAAAATTAACTATATACCATGTAAGAAGAATCTCTATGCTATATATGCACTCCATACCAAAATCCGTTATAGTCAGTACGGTCGACTATGTACCGAGGAGACATATCCTTAGGCAACAATGATGCCCGAAGCACGTTCTTATTGATTCAACAACCCCATAACAATAGCTATTGTCTCTACGGGTACACCCGTTCCATCACTACCAAGCCAACACAAACACACGACACCGTCCTCGCCGGCGAAGACGACGACCTCAACAATACAATCCAGCGTAATCAACAGGACGCTTGTGCGAGTCCCGGCACACCTCCGATTTCAATTAAAACGGGGGTCAAAATTACGACGACCTGAGCCGAGTTTACTCCTAGCGCTGTCCTCAGACTAAAACCGTATCCGTCAAGCAGGAGTTGGCTTTCAGACGCTCCGTAAACCCTTCCGCGAATTTGGAGTTCCATCTGCACTCGCCCTCTATCGTCCGGAGACGCTGTAAAGGCCAGCTGCAGCCAACAGCATTAGAGTAGTCCAAACGATACGCTACTACCACTCCACCGCTCAATTCAAATAGGGGTCAAAATTACAACGGTCTCAGCTGAGATTCAAACTCCTATTGGTGTCCTCAGACTTACTTACAACATACTGGCAATTCCTCTGGTGTTGCGGGTGCTAATGGGCGACGGTAATCACTTACCATCAGATGAGCCGCATGCTCGTTTGTCCCCTGTGTTATACAAAAAACTTTTTTACTGTTGGCAACAGAAGGTTCAATATTGCGAAGGGCGCCTGACAAATTATTATGCTTTATAGTGCTCACAGCCGTTTTGCTGTCTTGGTTTTAACACTACGTTTTAAGATTAGAATGTATCTGAATGAAAGTTTATTTGATTTTAGATTTTTATCAACAGCGTGGATATATCTGCATCGCCTAATAATATACCTTGTATTTTTTGTTAAAGGGTAGTAGATATTATCACTGGGCTCCCTAAAATATGGTCGAGCGCAGTAATGGCTGGCTCATCCGTCATACTCGTGAACGGGTGCTGCTTGTAGGGACTGGTCTGTTCTAATCACTATGACTGATTTCCTCTTATCAATTGTTTAACCAGTTGGTTATATATTCAATATTTTTTCTACTTGAGTATTTAATTGAATTAGTGGTAATTGGTGGTTTGTATTCACACACTTAAACTTAAAAATGTAAAGTAATAATAAAATTATTTAAAAGAGCAACACGCAAGTTTCTTGCTCCTTCCTCTTGTGATGCGACAGCTTTTCGAATGAGCGGTAGATTAAAAAAATGTAGTGACTATTCAAAAGTGCTTCAATGTAAGTTTATTTGAATAAATGATTTTCTATTTCTATTTCTATCTTAGATTGTTGTAGTTTTATTATATTTGTACAGTTAAGAGAAAAATAAATGGATTTTTCTCCGTATACCAAATACGGAGAAAAATTTATATTAGACTACTGACATATAACAGAAATAGAATGAAAGGTAACAAAACAAGAATCTACAGGAACGAACTATAAATTTTAAATACAAATTTAGAATATAAAACATTTCTTCATTAGCCAATTCAACATAGATTTTTATGATAGTAAATTGAGTGGTACACGTGATATCTGATGCTGTACATCGTGTTGTTTATGTACATAAGCGACCGTCAACATACCTTCAACTTGTTTGCATTTCAATCAGTCTCTATGGTGTAGCTGTTTAGCACGCCGCTTTGCATTCCGACGGTCGTGGGTTTAATCCTCGCATAATACAAACATTTGTATCCATAAGTATAAGTGTTTGTATTAGTCTGGATGGGAGATCTCTATTGGGAGATGACCCAGAAGACTGTCCAGAGTTATTATTATTAACTAGCTGTGCCCACAGTTTCACGCGCGTTAAATTTCTATATAAGCTATATTATTGGAAAATTTTATCAAAATACGTTCAGTAGTTTTAGCGTGAAAGAACAACAAACATCCATCCATACTCACAAACTTTCGCGTTTATAATATTAATATAATATTATATATCACTAGCTGTACCGGCAAACGTAGTTTTGCATTAAAATAAAAAAAAAAATTAGGGCTGGACTACCCCTAACATTTAGATTTGGATGAAAAATAGATATTGGCCGATTCTCAGACCTACTCAATACGCTTACAAAATTTCATGAGAATCGGTCAAGCCGTTTTGGAGGAGTATGGGAACGAAAACTGTGACACGAGAATTTTATATATAAGATATATACAATAATTATGTATACAATACCGACCTTGAGGGGGGAAAGAAGATTGTCAGTAATGTGGACTGATGATTTTAGTGTATTTATATCAGTTTTTTTTTATGGATGATAATGGAATGGTGCACCCGCCTGCGCTAACGGTTTACGCTGGCGGGGCACCAGTGGAGGATGATAAGATGAACATGAGATCAGGTCAGTTAGTCCATCGTGATAAATTCAACAAAAATTTATCACGATGGTTTCCAGGGGGAACCGCGTGGAGGTCAACCTGACATGGTACATTGCTAGTAATGGGATTATGAGTCTACATTACTGACAATCCCTCTCCCCTTATATATATCAGTTGTCGAGTACACAAAAACACTAGCTGTTGCTGTGCTACTAGATGGCGCTGTATGAATTGTAATAATCAAAACTTTTCCGTTGGGGAAAGGGATTCTTAGTAACGTACCTTATGACCCCATTCCTAACAATGAATCTTGTCTGATTGACCTCCGGTTCCCCCTGGAAACCATCGTGATAAAATCTTGTTGAATTTATCACGATGGACTAACTGACCTGACCTCATGTTCATCTTATCATCCTCCACTGGTGCCCCGCCAGCGTAAACCGTTAGCGCAGGAATAGAATAGAAAATTATATATTCAAATAAACTTACATTGAAGCACTTTTGAATAGTCATTACATTTTTTAATCTACCGCTCGTTCGGAAATCTGTCTCATTATAAGAAGAACGAGCAAGAAATTTGCGTGTTGCTCTTTTAAATAATTTTATTATTACTTTACTTTTTTAAGTTCAAGTGTGTGAATACAAACCATCAATTAGCACTAATTCAATTAAATACTCAAATAGAAAAAATATTGAATATATAACCAACTGGTTAAACAATTAATAAGAGGAAATCAGTCATAGTGATTAGAGCAGACCAGTCCCTACAAGCAGCGCCCGGTCACGAGTACGACGGATGAGCGAGCCATCACTGCGCTCGACCATATTTTAGGGAGCCCAATGACCCGGCCCACCACGCCGCCACAAGTCTGGACATTTAGTGAGCATGACTACTCAAAACACTAAACCACGTCATACCTACTTACAATTGCACTCTGATAGTTATAGTATTCACATTTTACATAAGAATGCATGCGGTTGCACCATTCCATTATAATCCATAAAAAAAAATGCCAACCTTGTCTATTAGCACTGAATTACGTATACGCTTATTTACATTAGGATATTGGTTTTATTTGCAATAAGATAAAACATATACATTTATATGTGTAGTGGTGATAATAGTTGTAGCATTGTGTAGTTTGATTTTTGAGTTATATGAACTGTTCCGTGAATTATGAGTGGAAATAAGGAAAAAGTCGCGGAATGTTGTGTTAAAACGTTGGATATAGAGAATGGAAAATATAAAGGTACATATACTATATTAAATATTATATATATTGATACTGGCTGTCCTGGCAAACGTTCCATTACATAGTATAAAATAAAGTCGCTGTCGCTGTCTGTCCGTCCCTATGTATGCTTAAATCTTTAAAAGTACGCAACAGATTTTGAAGCAGTTTTTTTTTAATACATAGAACGATTCTTGAGGAAGGTCTATACATATAAATAAAATTGGAGTGTCTATTTGTAATATGGAAATAACCGTTTTTACTACATACATATAAATATAAATACGGTACAAACAAAAATATAAGATTTTTTACAATTTTTGTCTGTCTGTTTGTATCGGCTAATCTCGAAAATGGCTGGACCAATTTTGACAGGACTTTTATTGGCAGGTGGCTGATGTAATAAGGCGTAACTAAGGCTACTTTTATTTTTGAAAAATAGACAGATGTGGATATAGATAGTAATTCAAGAAAGGTTTTAATATTTAATACATGTACACCCGTGCAAAGCCGGGGCGAGTAGCTAGCTTTTTTTTTATAGATGATAATGGAATGGTGCTCCCGCCTGCGCTAACGGTTTACGCTGGCGGGGCAACAGTGGAGGATGATAAAATGAAAATGATGTCAGGTCAGTTAGCCCATAGTGACAAATTCATCAGGAATTTATCACGATGGTTTCCAGAGGGAATCGCGTGGAGGTCGACCTGACATGGTACATTGCTAGTAATGGGTCCATGGGTCCACACGAGTAGCTAGTTAGTCATATAAATTAAGACGACGCATCGCAAAAATTTACGTCAGAAATCTCAGTTCTTCCCAGCAATTACAAATCCTTCGGGATTGATAGTTAGGTATTTCATTTTTCACATCTTTGACATTATATACACTGTTATCGTTGTATGATTGATTAACTTTTGTAGCAGAGAAAAAAATCTCAAAGATTGGTCTTTTAAAATATAGATTTAATTAGTATAAGAAAACTGGGCTGATTTAAGACTCGATTTCCAATACACATTATACTAAGTAAACACTTAAATAGAACCATTCAAATGTATATAATATAATATAAACCAATAGTTTTTATTTTAAACAAAATAAACTGTTTTTCCGCACAAAATCTCTCGCTATTAAAAATAGGGGTTGGGGGTGGAAGAGCGAAAATTTATAAATATTCTTTATTGCACTTAAATACATTTGTAAGTATATTAATTACAACTAATGTTGACAAAGGAGGACATATCTCTAAACGAGATCTCTTCCAGTCAGCACAATAGAGCGTGGCATAGGAAGTGTTGAGTGGGTCAAAATGTGCAAATAATATTTTTTATAAAAATGTCATAAATAATTAAAACTAAACATAAAAATATATTATAGATACTAATACAAAATATTGATATAAATTTAAATTAAAATTCAAAAATCATTTATTCATGTAGGACATTTTAGCCGCTTATGAATGTCAAGTTTTTACATTATAATTTTTTTCCCTACCGTCCAGTTCGGTATATAGATCCAATTGAGAAGAACTGGCAAGACACTCAATTGAATTACTTTTTTTTTTAAACCCAGATTATTTACAATGCATAGGTGTCTATGTCTAACATTAAATGAAAATCCCGAACATGAAAACTATTGCCATGCACGCTCGTCATTCAAGTAATCGTTTAGTGAGTAATAGGCCTTGCTGAGTAAATATGATTTAACAGATATTTTGAATTAATTTAAGGGTAATTCCAATATATCCTTTGGTATCTTATTGTAAATTTTTATACCTATTCCCATAAAAGACCTATTGACTTTTTCTAAACGATACTTGGGGAAAATACATATATATATATATATATATATATATATATATATATATATATATATTTGAATACCTAAACAAAATTACATTTATAATACATATATAATAAACAACATAAATATATACTAAATCAAACAATAAAAACTACAAAGGTATATATACAATGATGACACTAATCATATAGCAGCAGAAAGGTATTTAGGGTTATATGTTGTTTTAAACGCCATATTAAAAAAAAAAACATATTGTCCAAAAAATAATATTAAGGGTGGACAACCCTTATCACTTACTCAGACCTACTGAATATGGGTATACAATTTCATCATACATAATCGGTCATTTTGTGTTATTATTCTGCTTGTCTGTTTATTCTTGCTAATCTCTAATAGCTGATCCTATTATTTTAGAAATTTCATTTATTGTAGAAAAAAATCGTCGGAGTCCTGAACCACTTTTATATATAAACTCTTTTGATTTATCTCACAAGAAACATATACTAATAATAATGTAATATATGTATTTTGTGGAATTTAATATGATTATTTAGCATAGAACAAAGGGGCTTCTTTCTAAAGGTTATTTTCTTAAATACACATCTTCTTTGTTATACAATAAGTCTAAAATTAGAGAGACTTCACTGTACTGAACACTTTCGAAATAATTTTATTAATTAAATAAAAAATAATAATTTTCTAGTGCATATATATATATATATGTTCAGATAATAGAAAATCGTTTATTCAAATAAATTCAATTTAAGCAGTTTGGAATTGTCAAAAATTTTTATTTTTTAAATCTACCGCTCATTCGGAAAGCTGTCCTATCACAAGAAGAATATGCAAGAAACTTGTGTGTTGCTGTTTTAAATAAATGTTTAATTAGATTTACATTAACAACGCACGATAGCGCTATGAATTATAAGTTAGATATTTTCTACAAAAACATTATTATCATTTATAAATTATTTTATAAGACATTTGAATCTTATAAAATATTTTGTTTGTAAAAACAATAAATCAATCCTTGTAAGTTCGCATTTTGCAAGTCAAAACGTGTGAATACAAACTACCAACCAGCACTAATTTATTTAGGCTCAAATATAAAAACACAATAAGATTAAATCAGTCGTAGTAATAAGAGCAGACCAGTCCCTACAAGCAGCACTCGTTTACGAGTTTGACGGATGAGCCAGCCATCACTGCGCTCGACCATATTTTAGGGAGCCCAATGACCCGGTCCACCACGCCGCCACATGTCTGGACATTTTAGTTAGCATGACTACTCATTCCACTCGACCACGTCATAGCTACTTAAATCTAAATATATATAACTCAAAGGTGACTGACGTAGTGATCTATCAACGCACAGCCCAAACCACTGAACGGATCGGGCTGAAATTTGGCATGCAGGTAGATGTTATGACGAAGGCAATCGCTTAGAAACGATTTTGATTAATTCTATCCCCAAGGGGATAAAATAGGGGATGAAAGTTTATATAAAACTTTGTCAATTTTAAACTGATCGGGCTGAGACTTTGCATGCATATAGCTACTATGACGTAGGCATCCCCTAAGAAAGGATTTTGATAAATTCCACCCCTAAGGGGATAAATTAACGCGAGCGAAGTCGCGGGCAAAAGTTAGTTTATTATATGGTAGTCCCACAGTATTTATTATCTGAACTACTAATCACATGACTTGTTGAGTTTTGTTTACTTTTCATCATAGAAATAATAATAACAATCCGGGAACAATTGATAAGCGAAGCTGAGAGAAATACATAAATACTTTTTTTTCTAAATAAATTCATTCACTTTCATTCATTCATAATTTAAGAGCGACGCTCTTGCCGGTGAATCTCTTGCCACTTTCCAAGATCTTCTTTCTTACTCTTTAAACGTTAATACCTCACTCCAATTCTGTATTTAATTTGCTTGATGTAGCTGTACCTTGGACTTTCTCTCCCCCTCTTTCCTTCTATCTTTCCCTCAATAATAATTATCATAAATTTATCGTATATACTTACTTACATGATAGATATAGAAAACATCCAGACAAACAATCATACTCATGAATATAACATTGTGATCTGCGGAGAATCGAATCCGCAATTATCACAAGTAAAGAGGTGTGCTAAACCGCTAGATCACCGAGGTCGTGGGCGTAAATTTTTGTATAAGAGTTTAATAAAATAATAGATATTTATATAACATTGTAGTTTTTTTACGAATATGCAATTTCAAGAGAGTCAGTGATTACACTATTAAAAGCTTACGCTACAATAATAAACTGATTTTACCTAAATGTCATTTAACTAAAGTTAGTAATTCGTTTTATGGCAATTGCGTAAGGTCCCCTCCGATCGATCCCCCGTCCAATTCAAACGGGGATCGAAATTACGACGGCCTAAGCCGAGGTTCGAACCCCTAGTGGTGCCCTCAGACTAAAGTCGTATCCGTCAGGCAGGAGTTGGCCTTCAGCCGCTCCATAAGTCCTTCCTTGGTTTGGAGTGCCATCTGCACTCGCCCCCTAACGTCCGTTGAAGCTGTAAAGGCCAGCTGCGGCCAACAGCATTAGAGTAGTCCGAAAAAAAAAATACCATGGTTTTACAACAAAAAAGATTTGCAAAAAAGATTTCTATGTTGATTATCGCATGCCTCTCACTTGTTATACTGTAATTATTTATATAAAAAAACATCTATTCAAAAGAGCAACACACAAGTTTCTTGCTCATTCTTCTTGTGTTGAATCTGCATTCCGAATGAGTGGTAGAATCAAAATATGACTATTCAAATGTGCTCATATTAAGTTTATTTGAATAAAGATTATTTCTATTTCTATTTCTATAATTCCAGGATGGGGCTACAGATACCAGCAGTGCCTAATCTTATTCCTATCACTCACGATAGCTTATAGCTTGCGAGCATGTATGGGTGTATCTTTAGTAGCCATGATACAACATGACATACAAGCCAATGCAAATCATACAAATGAAACAATAGCAAATAATACAGACAAATCTAGAGAGCAATATGCAGATTTGTATGTTGATGAAGAGGATTATAATGCAAGAGGATTTTTGAACATATTAATGCTTACACCACCTGTAAGTACCTTGTCTTAACTAATGTAACTTTATACTGACTTGAGTTTTCTAAATGATTATGTCATTCACATATATCTAAGACTAGCTTTTGCCCGCGGCTTCGCTCGCGTTAATTTATCCCCTCAGGGTTGGAATTTATCAAAATCCAGTCCATTTAGGACATAACATATTAGCCGCTTCTGATAATAATTTTTTTTTACATTATAATTTTATTTTTCTCCGTACCGTCCAGTTCAGTATATATATATATGACAACCAGCTGTTCCCGCGACTTCATCCGCTTGGAATTTAACTATATTTTTCTAGAATAAAAATAGCCTAAAGAACTAAAAATTATTTTGTTTGTCTTAATTTATACGTACCATTAGGTACTGATAGGTTCAAACTAATACATTTACATCCTGCATCATCCCTTATTTTATCCCCTTGGGAGTAGAATTAATCAAAATCCTTTCTTAGCAGATGCCTACGTCATAATATCTACCTGCATGCCAAATTTCAGCCCCATCCGTCCAGTGGTTTGAGCTCTGCGTTGATAGATCACTAGTTCTAGTTTCAAGCTAAGCAGAGGTTACATATAAGCACTAGAGAACTGAAATAAACACATATACATTTTTTTATAAATACATATAGAAAACACCCAGACCGATATAAACAATCTTACTCATGATTACAAATGCTTGCACTATGCGTGCATCGAACCCGCGACCATCGAAAGTAAAGCGGTGTTCTAAACCGGTAGACCACAAAGGCAGTCGACTTCTTTTAGTATATCTGAAAATGTATCAATATTGATCAATTTTCATTGTTAAATAAATAAATAAATAATCTCAGTACAATTCACACAGCGCCATCTAGACCCAAATTAAGCTACCTAAAGCTTGTGTTATGGGTACTTGACAACTGATACAAATACATAGATATGTTTTTTTTTTCGTAAATACATACATATTATACATAGAAAATACCCAGACCGATACAAATAATTATACTCATGAATACAAATGTTTGTGCCGTGCGAGAAATCAAACCAGCGACCATCGGACGTAAAGCGGTGTGCTTGACCGCTAGACCACCGAGGTCGTCAATAAGCAAAGGGAAACTTCACAACAAACCTATATATTCATATAGATACCTATGTTTTACTCATTTGTCCATCAAGTAGACGTTTGCAAACTGTGATCCTTTTGAAGGTGAGATATGGAAGTTAAATTACTAGGAACCGAGACAACATTGTAATCTCAATATGACGGGCCCTTGCTGTGTCAAAATGTATTTTATATATGTTGTATTGTTAATTAATTAATTTAACTTTAATGCACAATAACAATGTGTACAAATGGCGTACTTAACACCTTGCGGCGTTATCTACCAGGCAACCATGAGTGGTGCAGAGAAAGATTGTTGGCGGTGCACTAATATAAATGAGAAATGTAAAAAAATTATATATAAATATGTGAAAAAATCTTATATATAAAATTCTCGTGTCACAGTTTTCGTTCCCATACTCCTCCGAAACGGCTTGACTGATTCTCATGAAATTTTGTGAGCGTATTGAGTAGGTCTGAGAATGGGCCAACATCTATTTTTCATCCCCCTAAATGTTAGGGGTAGTCCACCCCTAATTTTTTTTTTATTTTAAGGCATAACAACGTTTGTCGGGAAAGCTAGTGATATATAAAAATAACGACCTCGGTGGTATAGCACAGCACTTTACATCCGATGGTCGCGGGTTCGATTCCTCGTACGACACAAACATTTGTATTCATGAGCATAATTGTTTGTATCGGTCTGGGTGTTTTCTATGTATAATATGTATGTATTTACGACAAATGTCTATGTATTTGTATCAGTAATCTAGTACCCATAACATAAGCTTCAGCTAGCTTAACTTGGGTCTAGATGGCGCTGTGTGAATTGTCTTGAAATAGAATAAAAAAAAATAGCAAAATATTTTAAATATAAATTTTTAATATGTATGTATAATGTAAATCAAATATTGTAATGGGTGAAAACTGTGATTGGTACAGCCTATGCTGTAAATAATATAAATGACGCATTGGAGTAACTTGAAACAGTCATGCTCGCTATAAAGTTCAAACTTGTGGCGGCGTGGTGGGCCGGGTCAATGTGCTCCCTCTAATATGGTTGAGTGTAATGATGGCTGGCTCATCCGTCATACTTGTGAACAGATGCTTGTGGGGACTGGTCTGTTTGGGTTACGAACACTGATTAGACTATTTGTTTTTGCAATAGCATATGCTGGTGGTCACTCTACAATACATTAGAGGAAGTATGAAAGTGGCGCCGGTGTCGGAGAGGTTGAAGAGTAATCGTCTATCGTGGTATGGACACGTAATGCGTAGGAATGAAGATCATATCCTAAGGAAGGTGTTACACATGAATGTGGATAGATATAAGGGCAGAGGAAGGTCGAAAAAGAGATAGATGGACTGTGTGAAAGATGATATGCTAAGAAAGGGAGTGACTCATCCGTGAAAGTATTAGGAGAAAAGATCTGCAAATTATTCCTAAATTCACAACATATTAATCATCCGTCATACTCGTGAACGAGTGCTGCTTGTAGCGACTGGTCTGCTCTTATCACTACGACTGATTTAATCTTATTGTGTTTTTACATTTGAGCCTAAATAAATTAGTGCTGGTTGGTAGTTTGTATTCACACGTTTCGACTTGTAAAATTCGACCTTACAAGGATTGATTTATTGTTTTTTACAAAGAAAATATTTTATAAGATTCAAATGTCTTATAAAATAATTTATAAATGATAATAATGTTGTTGTAGAAAATATCTAACTTAAAATTTATAGCGCTAGCGTGAGTTGATAATGTAAATCTAATTAAAACAACATTTATTTAAAAGAGCAACACAGAAATTTCTTGCTTATTCTTCTTGTAATGAGACATCTTTCCGAATAAACGGTAGATTTAAAAAAAAATGTTGACAATTCAAAAGTGCTTAAATTAAATTTATTTGAATAAATTATTTTCTAGTCTATTCAATCTGTAAAATTGTTTAATAATTTACCAATACATTTAAAAACTTTATAATTTCACATTATTTAAAATCATATCGAGGACATTTTTATTGAATAAGTATTACTATTACCACAGATAACATAATATTACATACTATTACGTTTAATATTCATCATTATTATAGCCTTTAATAAGATCCAACTTATTAAAGGCTATAATAATAATAATAATAATAATGATTTAATAAGATATACATTATTTCAAAACAAACAAAACTTTAAAACTTAGAAACGAAATAATTATTTTATTATTTGGCTCTTTTTTAATTTCTGTAGATCTGTTTGCCAATCGGCACCCGCCTCCTCCAATAGTTAGTTGTAGTAGTAGTTTCCATTCTTCTCTTTCTTCTGCCACTCTGTTCCACATTTCTCCTGCCACTATCCTAATATCATCAGCCTATCTTGTGTATGAAAATAAAATACATATATATATATATATTATATATATATATATATATATATATATACATAAATAAAATATATAATTAGACTATCTTTTGCCCACGGCTTCGCTTGCGTTATTATTAATTAGGTATAGTTTTTGCGGCTTTACAGTACTTTCATGCAAACTTTCATCCCCTATTTTATCACCTTAGGGGTGAAATTTATTAAAATCCTTTCTTAGGAGATGCCTACGCCATAGTAGCTTTATGCATGCAAAGTCTCAGCCCGATCGGTTTAAAATTGATTTAGTTTCATACAAACTTTTATCCCCTATTCTAGCCCCTTGGGGGTAGAATTAATCAAAATTCTTTCTTAGCGGATACCTTCGTCACAACATCTATCTGCATGACAAATTTCAGCCCGATCCGACCAGTGGTTTGGGCTGTGCGTTGATAGATCACTATGTCAGTCACCTTTGAGTTATATATATATAGATACATACATGTCTAACAAAACAGAACATTACAGAAAGATTTTTAATTGGAGATAAAGTGAGAGTTTACAATTTTTTTTAAAAATGGAATAAATTAGATAAAGAAGAAGCAGATGATGATGATGATGACGAAATACAATAATTTGTTTTTTTTCTTACAGTACCCAAAGTTGAAGTGGACTAAAACAATACAAGATACAGTACTGACGTCTTTCTTTTGGGGTTATATGATACTGCAAATTCCTGCTGGACAGATTGCTCACCGCTTCGGTTCCACCTACTTGCTGTTCAGTGCACTCGCTATCAATTGCCTTGTGTCCTTGTTCTTTCCACTGGCAGCGTTTTATGTAAAGTATTTCTATAAAATAAATTAAATATCTTTGAACATGTAATACAGCGCCATCTAGTTGAATTAGAGATGTGTCAACTCTAGTTACTAACTTGAGTTGAATTCTGGCAACTCGAGTTAAAAGAATTCAACTGGTAAATGAATGAATCAAGTGAAAGAGCGAGAGCATGATTCTGTCATCGAACTGAAAATGACATGAAATTTTCCGATCATTTCATATCATACAATTTTCACTCGTCACAAATATTTCAATTAGAGATATAGTTTTATAGTTCAATAGTTTTTGCTACCTTTATTGGCTTCAACTAAAAAAAAATTTCACACACTTCGCACACAGGATGGTGCGGCCTTGCCTACAGCTATACTTGCATATATTCAAATTCAAATTCAAAATATCTTTATTCATGTAGGTCTATTACAGACTCTTATGATATGTCAAATCTACCGTCAGTTCGGAATGATTTCGAGATGAGAACGACTGACAAGAAACTCATCTCGTATTTTTTGTTTAATGTTGTACATATTTACAATAATACTATTTCATTTAAATTCAAATTTGAGAGAGTAGAGTGACCACCAGCATATGCTATTAAAAAAAATCAAATAATTAATCAGTGTTCGCAACCTGAACAGACCAGTCCCCACAAGCAGCACCCGTTCACGAGTATGACGGATGAGCCAGCCATCATTGCACTCAACATATATAGGGTACTAAGATAGACTTCGAATTGGCAAACGTAGTGTAGAACGCCCCACATCTAGATGGAGCGATGATATACGTAGGGTTGCGGGTAGTAATTGTAAGAGAAGGGCTGACGATCGTACCCAGTGGTGTGCCTTGGGAGAGGCCTATGTCCAGCAGTGGACTGCAGTGGGCTGATCATGACGGTAGACTTCACATAACATAATTTTCATGCATCATGCAAGATTAATTACAACTTCTGATGCAAGAAAGAAGGTAACAAAGTAAATAGCTCTAAACGTAGCACATTAGTGATTAATATTTTGTTACCTTCTTTCTTGCATACTGTTGAATTCTGTGTTATATATTTTATATAAAAATTACAGGGAAGTTGGAAGTTATCAATAGCTTGTCGTATAATCCAAGGCTTAAGTCAAGCCTTCATTGTTCCTTCAGTGCACACAACTTTAGGGAAATGGGCACCTTTAGCCGAGCGAGGCAGGATGACAGCAACAGTCTACGGTGGTAGGTTCTCATTATACTTGTAGCAGCGAGTTTTTATATTATTAATTTAATTTAATTTTATATTATACTGTGTGAGATGTAGCATGGTGTGGGTGACAGTTACTTATTTTATATTTAACAATTGCTACAGTTATTACGAATATGGTACAGCTAAAATACTAAGCCATCATCATCATCGGAAGACGTCCACTGCTGGACATAGGCCTCCCCCAAAGATCTCCACGACGATCGGCCCTGTGCTGCTCGCATCCAATGCCTTCCAGCGATCTTGACCAGATCGTCAGTCCATCTTGCTGGAGGCCTTCTCACGCTGCGTCTTCCGGTTCGTGATCGCCACTCGAGGACTTTATTGCCCCAGCGGCCTTCTGTCCTGAATACTAAAAATATTAAGTCATAATTTGTAAATCGCGGTAACTTTAAATAGTGAAACGAAACGTTAATGAAACTGTCAGCCGCATGATGCTACAGCGTCTATGGTATAGTCAGTATGTTTTGGCCTCGATGGTCTAGCGGTTTAGATCACCGCCTTACTTCCGCTGGTCGCGGGTTCGATTCCTCGCACGCACAAACATTTGTTTTTTTTATACTATGATGGTGGCAATCAAGCATACGACCCATCTGATGATAAACGGTTACCGTAGCCTATGAACGCCTGAAACACTAGGGGTATCACGTGCGCGTTGCCGACCTTTAAGAAACCTTAATATACCCTTGAATTTGTATTCATGAGTATGATTGTTTGTATCGGTCTTGGTGTTTTCTATATATAATATGTATGTATTTACGAAAAAAAAATCTATGTATTTGTATCAGTTATCTAGTACCCATAACACAAACTTTAGCTAGTTTAACTTGGGTCTAGATGGCGTTATGTGAATTGTCTTGAGATTATTATTATTATTTTATATACTTTATTGAAACCTTCAAGAAAAGAGCTTATTCCTTTTTAAAAGGCCGACAACGTAGTTGCAATTCCCCTGGTGTTGCGGGTGCTCATGGGCGGCGGTAATCACTTACCATCAGGAGAGCCGCATGCTCATTTGTCCCCTGTTTTATAAAAAAAATTATGTATTGTATAAAAATTCGACGACCTCGGTGGTCTAGTGGTTTAGCACACCGCTTTACGTCCGATGGTCGCGGGTTCGATTCCTCGCACGGCACAAACATTTGTATTCATGTGTATAATTGTTTGTGTCGGTCTGGGTGTTCTCTATGTATAATATGTATGTATGTTACGAAAAAAAAATAGCTATGTATTTGTATCAGTTGTCTAGTACCCATAACACAAGCTTTAGTTAGCTTAACTTGGGTCTAGATGGCGCTGTGGAATTGTCATGAGATTATTATTATTATTATTATTATTATTCTTTATTTTTTCTCAGCTATTGCTGGTTTTCTCCGCACTTATTATTATTATTATTATAAAAATTTTCAGCGCAAGCACTAGGAACCGTCCTTGGACTGCCTATTACCGGTTTCATTGCATCATCAAGTATGGGATGGCCTGGTATATTCCGTTTCTACGGATTACTCTCGGGTATTATAGCTGGTGTGGTATTGTGGTTTGGCGCTGACAGTCCAGCCAAGCATCCTAATATATCAGAGGCTGAAAGGTTTTATATAGAAGCCGATTTGGGACAAAAGGGACACAACTCAAATGTAATTACCAAACTCAGTTTAAATTCCTTTCTATTAACACAATGGTGTAGCTATTTAATGTCTATTTCAATTCGGTGCACTGATTTAGAATAGAATAGAATAGAATAGAATAGAAAATCATTTATTCAAATAAACTTACATTGAAGCACTTTTGAATAGTCATAACATTTTTTTTTTAATCTACCGCTCATTCGGAATGCTGTCTCATCACATTAGGTTATGCTATTTGATATTAAATTAAATTAAATCTATACTATGTAGCTCTGGCTTTTTATTGGTTGCACTTTGACTGCGTTATAATTATTAAAATAGCTCGAAAAATAAATAAAAATAAATAAATATGTAGTTTAATTAGATATTAAGTCGTTTTTTAACTAGGCTGCAATTTAATTATTACCTCACTGCAGATAAACTATATGTATGCCATTCAAATTTCATTATCATTTATACATATAAATAAAATTGTAGTGTCTGTTTGTAATATTGAAATAACCATTTTTGACTACATGCATATTGAATATAAATACGGTACATATACCAAAATAACATTTTTTACAATTTTTGTCTGTCTGTTTGTTCCGGCTAATCTTTGAAATGGCTGGACCGATTTTAACGGGACTTTTATTGGCAGGTAGCTGATGTAATAAAGAGTCAGACACCAAAATAACATTTTTTCCAATTTTTGTCTGTGTCTCTCTGACCGTCTGTTGGTTCCGGCTAATCTATGAAATGGCTGGACCGATCTGTATGGAATTTATCTTTATTTTTAGAAAAATAAAGTTAAATTCCATGCGGACGAAGTCGCGAGTGGAGCTAGTTAATTAATAGAATTGTTTTTTTTTCAGAAACGTTTACACGTGCCCTGGAGTCGCATACTATGTTGTAGAGGACTGTATGCAGTTATAATAGTGCATATAGGCCAAGTATGGGGACAACTGGTCTTATATTCGGAGGTACCTATGTTCATGAACAATGTCATGGGTATTAACATCAAAGCAGTAAGTTAACAGTGCTTTTTTTTTAAATACATGTAAATTTCCAAAAAAAAAAAGCAGCCTAAGTTGCGCCTTATAACATTTACGAATAAAAATCCTGTCAAAATCGGTCAACCCATTTCAGAGATTAACCAGAGCAAACAGATAGAAAAAAATAGTTTTTTTTTATGCATATACCGCATATACTTCCATATGCGTTTAGTGATAATAGGACACTTAAATTTTTTTCTTCATATATTGAATTACTAGTCAAGTTGGGTATTTGATAGAAAAAAAAAATTAACAAAAAAATGAAATCAATATTTTATTCTCCTTACATCTAGTCCCAAGGTGTAAGTAGAACTTGCGTTGTGGGTACTACACAAGAAACAATCACACTCATGAATCTTGTATTATTTGTACCGTGCGAGGAATCGAACTCACGACCATTGAAAGTGAAGCGATGTGCCAAACATCTAGACCATTGAGGCCGTTATGAAAATGACTCTTTTTTATTTTCAGAATGGTTTATTGACCGCTCTCCCATTTTTTGTGATGTGGTTCACAAATTTCTTCTTCAGTTGGTTTGGTGATATGCTCATCGTGAAACAGTACCTCAGCGTTACCAACACTAGAAAGCTTGCAAACTCTATGGGTAAGATTAATGGAATTTATCAATTCACTAATTAATACACTATAATAAATATTGTAATGGAGGCACGAGAAATCACAACGCCATCTAGTCCCAAACAAAGCAGATTTGTAACTATGGGCACTGAACAAGTAATAAAAATACCTTATTACACATACTTTTTTAAAATAAATATATAATTATTTATTTATCTCTAAACCCTATTATAATGTCCTTATACACTGACCCGCGACTTCGTCCGCGTGGAATTTAACTTATTTTTCTAAAATAAAAGTAGCCTAAAGAATTATTTTGTTCGTCTTAATTTATTCGTTCCATTAGGTACTGATATCCTGATAGTCCTGCATCATCCCTTATTTTATCCCCATGGGGGTTGAATTTATCAAAATCCTTTGTTAGGGAATGGCTACGTCATAGTAGATGAAATAGGGGATGAAAGTTTATATAAAACTTTGAAAATTTTAAACCGATCGGGCTGTCTTTGCATGCATAAAGCTACGTCATAGTAGCTTTATGCGTGCAAGTAAGCATCCCCTAAGAAAGGATTTTGATAAATTCCACCCCTAAGGGGATACATAAACGTGAGCGAAGCCGCGGGCAAAAGGTAGTAATGTATATGTTACATAGCAAAGCCTTCTTTTGAGTTGATCCACAAAGATATTTTTATGTACTGGTATTTTAAAACTAGGTTTCTTTCATTACAGGTTGTGTCCCAGCTGCTCTAGGATTTGTGGCGTTAGCATATGTACCAAAAAACATCTACGTTGTTGAATCTATATTAGTTTTCATCTGTGCTTTCAAAATATCAGCGCACGTTGGCTTTCAAGTGAGTATAATTCTAATAAATTCAAATTGAAAATATCTTTATTCATGTAGGTCTATTACAGACTCTTATGATATGCCAAATCTACTGTCAGTTCGGAATGATTTCGAACTGACAAGAAACTCAGCTCATATTGTTTTCATATGAGCTTGTAAAAGTCCCCAAGTATCGTTTAGAAAAAGTCAATAGGTCTTTTATGGAAATAGGTATAAAAATTTACAATAAGATACCAAAGGATATATTGGAATGACCCTTAAATAAATTCAAACATTTCAAACATTCAAACAAAACAACAGTGGCGACCACGGACCGGAAGACGCAGCGTGGGAAGGCCTCCAGCAAGGTGGACCGACGATCTGGTCAAGATCGCGGGAAGGCATTGGATGCGAGCAGCGCAGGACCGATCGTCGTGGAGAACGTGGGGAGGCCTATGTCCAGCAGTGGACGTCTTCCGGGCTGCGATGATGACGATGATGAAATTCAAACATCTGTTAAATCATATTTACTGAGCAAAGCCTATTACTCACTAAACGATTACTTGAATGACGAGTGTGCATGGCAATAGTTGTTCATGCACTGGATTTTCATTTAATGTTAGACATAGACATCTTTATAAATATACATTGTAAATAAACTGACTTTAAAAAAAAGTAATACAATTGAGTGTAAGAAACTCAAACTATAACTGGACGGTAGGGAAAAAATTAAAATTATAATGTAAAAATTTGACATTCATAAGCAGCAAAAATGACCTACATGAATAAATAATTTTTGAATTTGAATTAAAATAAATTAAAATATATGTTTTGATTCAGGTAAACCCAATAGATATATCACCAAATTTCGGAGGTACCATGATGAGCATCAGTAACTTCGCTGCAAGCTTACTGGGTTCTCTTGCGCCGATTACAGCTGGACTGATCCTTACTGATATAGTAAGTAATAAGACCTTCACATACATTATTCCTCCAATCAATTCCCCGTCCAGTACAAAAGAATTAAAAAGATTCGAAATTACGACGGCCTGAGCCGAGGTTCGAACCCTTAGCTAAAGTCGTATCCGTCAGGTAGGAGTTAGCCTTCAGCCGCTCCATAAGTCCTTGCCTTCCATAAGCTGTAAAGGCCAGCGGCGGCCAACAGTATTAGAGTAGTCCGTACTAGTACCCCAAATACATATGGGATCAGTATGTACATATAAATTAAATATCGTATATATAAAATTCTCGTGTCACAGTTTTCGTTCCCATACTCCTCCGAAACGGCTTGACCGATTCTCATGAAATTTTATGAGCGTATTGAGTAGGTCTGAGAATCGGACAACATCTATTTTTCATCCCCCTAAATGTTAGAGGTAGTTCACCTTTATTTTTTTTTTTATTTTAAGGCAAAACAACGTTTGACGGTACGGCTAGTGTACATATAAAATGACAATAGGAAAATGTAAGGTGACACAGTTTAGACACGGCAGTGCTTATACACAATATCGAAAATGTCTTACTAGATATTATTAAATGCAATTATTGATGTATCTAAGTAACTGTGTCCCATAAATGTCTTATAAAAAACTAAATGATAGTTTCGTAATATACTTATTAAAATTCTATAATTAGAAATAAACAGTATTTTCAGATCAGTTATCGACTTATTTTCATTTTAGTTAGTTCATTTAATTAATAGAAATACTTGTCAAGTAACAATTTCATTATTTTCTATTATTAATATATTTTCTTTAAATTGATGATCAATTGTTCTCGTGAGAGATATTTTATAAATAGACAATATTTTACAATTAATTAATTAATTGAAGACCTCGGTGGTCTAGACGGTCTCTATGGTTTAGTGGTTTAGCACACTGCTTTACTTTCATTGCTAGCGGGTTCAATTCCTCGCCTGATACAAACGTTCGTATACATGAATTCATTTGTATTACTCTGGATATTTCACACACACAAAATATGTGTCTATGTCTATGTTGACGACCTCACGTTGCACGTTCCACGTTGCTTTACATCCGATGGTCGCGGGTTCGATTCCTCGCACGGCGCAAACATTTGTATTCATGAGTACGATTGTTTGTATCTATCTGGGTGTTTTCTGTATATGTATTTACGAAAAAAAAATTGTATCAGTCATCAAGTACCCATAACACAAGCTTTAGCTAGCTTAACTTGGGTCTAGATGGCGCTGTGTGAATTGTCCTGAGATTATAGATTACAGATTATGTATTAGTCATACAGTAATAGTAGTAAGTAGTTGTCTAGTACCCATAACACAAGCTCTGCTCAACGTATTTATGATAATGATGAGCGTGGATGGATGGAAAGGGTGAGGACGCCCCAAAAAAAGATGGATGGATTTTGTGAAAGATGACATGAATAAAAGAAGAGTATGCTCAGATATGACGGGCGATAGAGATCAGTGGAAGAGAATGACATACTCACCACCCCAAATAATGGTATAAAGGCAAGGCAATGATGATGATGACAATGATGAGCGTGGATAGCAATAATGAGACACACCTATATAAATATACATTGTAAATAAACTGGCTTTTAAAAAAAAAAATTCAATTGTATTTCTTGCCAGATCTTCTCAATTGGATCTATATACTGGACCGTAGGGAAAAAATATAATACATATAAAAAATTTGACGTTCATAAACGACTAAAATGTCCTACATGAATAAATGATTTCTGAATTTGAATTTATGATATTTACAATGAAATAATAATTACAGAGTACATCAAAGTATTTAGTTCTTAATCTTTCGGCTCTTATATCAAATATACAATAGCTGGAGAGAGGATTGTTGGTACTGCGAGCTAGCATCTCCGTTATGGCCAATAGATAATCCTTTCAAATTGAATTCTGCGCCATTTCATCTAGAAATCATCATAGTTAATTCTTGCTTAATTCGAATCCTTTAGCTAAAATTGCATCAGTTCACCTTCGTCGTTTAATCCTATAGTCCCTTTATTATTCATATTATATCGGGTCATTGGGCTCCCTAAAATATGGTCGAGCGCAGTGGCTAGCTCATCGGTCATGCTCGTGAACAAGTGCTGCTTGTAGGGACTGGTCTGCTCTAATCACTACGACTGTTTTAATCCTATTGTGTATATTAGTAATAGTTGGTAGTTTGTTGCACGTTTCGAATTGGAAATCTAAAGCTACAATGATTATTTAAAAGAGCAACACGCAAGTTTCTTGCTCGTTCTTATTGTGATGAGACAGCTATCCGAATGAACGGTAGATTAAAAGAATGATAAATATGACTATTCAAAAGTGCTTCAATTAAGTTTATTTGAATAAATGGTAAAGTTACAATGATTATTTAAAAGATCAACATGCAAGTTTCTTGCTCGTTCTTCTTGTGATGAGATAGCTATCCGAATGAGCGGTAGATTTAATAAATGATAGCTATGACTATTCAAAAGTGTTTCAATTAAGTTTATTTTAATAAATGGTAAAGTTACAATGATTATTTAAAAGAGCAACACGCAAGTTTCTTGCTCATTCTTCTTGTGAAGAGACAGCTTTCCGAATGAACCGTAGATTTAAAAGAATGATAGCTATGACTATTCAAAAGTGTTTCAATTAAGTTCATTTGAATAAATGGTAAAGTTACAATGATTATTTAAAAGAGCAATATGCAAGTTTCTTGCTCGTTCTTCTTGTGATGAGACAGCTTTCCGAATGAGCGGTAGATTTAAAAACTGATAACTATGACTATTCAAAAGTATTTAAATTAAGTTTAGGTAAACGATTTTCTATTCTGTAATAGCGTTTTTATCCAGTATTAAATATATTTATAATATTTGAAAGCTATCAAAATATAATTAACGAAAATTGGTACATTTCACTACCTAATAGATTTATATTATTTTGTTTAATTCCGCTGTCATTAGCATGTGTGATACCACAAATATTCCATGTGGAAACTTGACTACTGTTACGACCTTCTCTATCGGTGATCAAATTCCGACCGTTATTGAGTCTACACTCATATTGCGATACGTGTTTCGCTTCTGGACGAGGCATCATCAAGTATTGAATAGAGTTCGGATATAGCTTGAAAGCCTAGTGTTAACTGTTCAGCGACCAAACCGCAACTTTATTAGTATAAATCGTATCTATTACCAATTCCAATGATACGAATAACGCCATCTATATCATTTCGTGTCAAACAAAAATCCGTTGTATGGAATGGTGTCCCACTACTATTACCAAATTTATTTGAGCTCATAATCCATTGTTTTCAGAAAAGCGAACGTTTGTGGGGATACGTCTTCTTGACAACTGGCGCAATTTATTTCTTCTCAAATCTGGTCTACGTGTTAATGGGTACAGCAGAATTAGCAGACTGGAATACTCCCAACGATGCTGAGAAGAAACAAGAAGATGAAGAAGCGACTGTACCAATTATTAAAGAATTAAACAATAAAATTCTTAATACATGACAAACTTGAGTTAACAATATTTGTAACGCAAATAATAGAATAATTTTAAATTATAATAGTTTAATTTTAGAATAAGTTTTTTAATATTATATAATTAATGAAGTTATTAAATTAAATTTAAGATCTATTGGAATGAAATATATAAATCATGAACTACGTTTTGTAACATTATGCATGTTATTTTTATATCCATGGATGATAATGGAATGGTGCACCCACCTGCACTAACGGTTTACGCTGGCGAGGTACCAGTGTAGGATAATAAGATGAGCATGAGGTCAGATCAGTTAGCCCATCTTGACAAATTCACCAAGAATTTCTCACGATGGTTTCCAGGGGATCCGCGTAGAGTTCAAGCAGACATGGTATTGCTAGCTGGTTGATCTATACCGCACCGTAGCTATAGTTATATATATATGCCGGCCGGCAACCGTTAAGTAACGTCGTTTTATTTAATTACAAAACAAAATTCCTCTTTTTTTTTTATAACACAGGGGACAAACGAGCATGCGGCTCACCTGATGGTAAGTGGTTACCGCCGCCCATAAGCACCCGCAACACCAGGGGAATTGCAAGTACGTTGTCGGCCTTTTAAAAAGGAATAAGCTCTTTTCTTGAAGGTTTCAATATCGTATCGGAAATACTATTGCTGGAAGATGATTCCACAATGTGGTTGTGCGATGCAAAAAGTTTCTAGAAAACCGCACTGTGGAAGATCGCCATTCATCCAGATGATCAGGATGGTATTTCAGTTTCTGGCGGGTGGTACGGTAGTGAAACTCAGCAGCTGGTATTAATCCGAACAATTCCTCAGAACACTCCCCGTGATATATGCGGTAGGAAATGCTCTGTCTCCTCTTCTCCCACGGCTAACTAAATGCAGTTTTAACACAACCAACACTAGCAATAAAATCATCACTATACATTATTTAAACCGCTGTCCCCTCTATACGTGTTATTTACTTATTGTATATTTGATATGAATGTTTTGTTTGAACCAAATAAATATATTTTTCCTTCTTTCTTTCTAAAGTATTTAGTATTAGATAAAATAAACTATTTTTGGCATCTAGTGACAATTTTAGACACAAATTAGACTTGAATATAGTAATAGTTAAAGTTTTTTTGTATATTAATAAGTAAACAATTGATACATTGACAGCCTAGGTGGTCTAGTGGTTTAGCACCGCTTTACTATCCGATGGTCGTGGGTTCGATTCCACACACGGTACAAACATTTGTATTCATGAGGGTAATTGCAAACAATTACCCTCATGAATACAAATGAAAATGAAAAGAAAACACCCAGACCGATACAAAATCGGTCTGGGTGTTTTCTATGTATAATATGTATTTATTTACAATAAAAAAATATATCAATGTATTTATATCAGTTGTCTAGTACCCATAACACAAGCTCTGCTTAGCTTGGGACTAGATGGCGCTGTGTGAATTGTCCTGAGATATTATTATATTTGTCTGTATATCTGTTGTGAATGTATAGATCTTTGTATCTGGTTTCTCTATGAGTGATATAAATACGTATAATAAAGATTTTTAAACCAACAATTTTTTTTTATTTTGTTCGTTTATAAAATATTTAATTTGACGATCACATGACTTATAATCCATGTAGTAAATAATTTTAACAGGTATACAGTTACATCAACTACGCATAATATAATTTGGGAAGCTGTTAATTTAGTTAAACCTTTAATTTACTGGTATAGGTAACGTCAGTTTGATCAATAACTAGGTAGTCTGAGAATCGGATATTATCTATTTTTCACACCACTAAGTTGTCCATCCCTAACATTTTTTTTAATATATTGGCGTGTGGTGTTTAGTTTTTTATAATGTGGCATTATGTAATACATACAACCCTAAATTATCATCCTTATATCTCCAACCCCTATTTTTTAATAGCGATTTTAATGTGTATGACAAAACGTTTGCTGGTTCAAATAGTAATCTTAAAAAAAATGTAATAATTAATCTATTTATTGCCAATAAAATACACAATTGTAGAAAAGTTATAAAAATTTGGCACAACTGCATCACTCCATCAAGTAGTTTATGGGGTTCATATAAATATATAGGTACTAAAAACATATAGGTATAAATGGATAAAATTGCAATTTTTCATGTAGTAACTTAAAATACAGACGTCTCAGATAGCCAGTACGAATTCTGTCTGATTTTTTAATTTAAATTCAAATTTAAAATAATTTATTCATATATGTAAATTTTTATCAATGTCCCTATTAACCTAATTACTTTTTTTATTATACTACGTAGGTGGCAAACAAGCATACGGCCCATCTGATGGTAAACGGTTACCGTAGCCTATAGACGCCTGAAACACCAGCCGACAATAACAACAACCTCGACGGGTAGTACATTCCACAATGTAAGTGTACGCGGGAGGAAGCTCCTCTGAAACCGCACTGCCCGAGACCACTTAGGTTCCAGCGTGTGAGGATGAATTCCCTGTCGATGGCGAGCGGTGCGATGGTAAAAGGTAGCCGTAGGCATCATGTCAAACAATTCATCAGAACACAGTCCGTTATATATTCGGTAGAACACACAAAGCGATGCAAAGTCGAGAAGAACGGAAAACACTCAACTGATTCATTTCTTCATGCTGTATTTTCGAACAGTTTTAGATAGATGCTTAAGTTTTTCAAGTTACGCAATGCCAAAGTAAAAATCATCCTTATCACAAACCTTTTAGAAGCTTAAGTATTTTAACCAGCGCAGTTTTAAAATGATCGTCATCCATCACTGCATCACAGCACAGTAGTATATTTAGACAAAGATCATGTAATAAAATACCGGAAGGGCGTAAATATAAGACAAATATTGACTTAATATTATAAGGTAGCATTATAATGATAGCTGCCTATACGTTGTTATTTCACAGTTAGTTAATCATTTGATTTCACGTTCTACATACGTGATACGTGTGCTCACAATGGATAGAAAGACAGATAACCTCAAGAATACCAGCGATTATGATGGCAAAAGAGGTAAGATGCATACAGAACATTATTATTTTTGTTTGAACATCTAACACTGTTATTAGTATTAAATTCAATGTGACAATGAGTATTTTCTTTATTTCTAGACTAAATAACACTAGTTATATATAATTAGATAATCATTCTTATTTCAATTCAATATGATGCATAACTCCATTGTCTATGCACATTAGAATCGACTCTTATTAGTATTAAAATCAGCGTAGGATTGACTATTTTTTTAATTTCTAGTCTATTTAATACTAGATATGGTAATGATTCTTTTATTAGTTCTCATAGTAGATTGTTTATATTAGAATATATATTCCAGAGATTTAGTATTAAAATTAGTGTAGGATTGACTATTTTTTTAATTTCTAATCTATTTAATACTAGATATGGTAATGATTCTTTTATTAGTTCTCATAGTAAATTGTTTATATTAGAATATATATTCCAGAGATTTAATATTAAAATCAGTGTAGTATTGACTATTGCTTTAATTTCTAGTCTATTTAATACTAGATATATTAATGATTCTTATATTAGTCCTTATAATAGGTTGTTTATATTACAATCTATATTCTATTGTGCAGTTTAGTGGTTTAGCTATTAGGGTCGTATTCTGCGCATCAGGGTTTAATGGATATTTTAAAATGATTACACCTAATGATAGGATATTACACAGAAGGTGCTAATATGAGAATAAAGTCCGTCAAGTATTAACTTGACTGAATTCTAATGATACTTACAGCCCTACATGATGAACTAAGAATAGAAGATTGTGTTCAGGGAAGTTGTGTTGGTAATAGAAATAGAAATATTCTTTATTCAAATAAAATTATTATACTTTTGAATAGTCATAATTTTTCGGTCCTACCATTTATTCGGAACGCAGACTCATCACAGGTAGAATGAGCAAGAAACTTATTTTTAAGAATTTTGTGTGAATACAAATACTAGAATTTGACGACCGAGTCTCGTATAGACTTAATAACGGTCGGAATTTTATCGTCACTGGAGAAGGTCGTAACGCTGGTCAGGTTTCCACACCGAATATTTGTAGACTCACACATGTTAATTGTAGCGGAATTAAACAAAATAATATAATTCCATCAAGTAGTGAAATGGACTTCCGCAAAATAATACCTAATTAGATTAAATGAATACAAATAGCCAATTAGCAAAGTTGACATAACTAAATAGCTACTTGAGTAATAAAATAAATCAATCATATACCTACTAGCAATGTTCGTTCACGAGTTTACCTTTACCTTTTAGAGTCATGATTAATAGGGTCAATAGTTGTCATTACAAAGTCTCCTTTACCTACTTTATTTCACGGCACATTTTTGTAAGAATTGGAATTATTATAGTGTTAGTTATGAATTTCCAATGTGTTACCAGCATTGAAAATTTACGAAAATTCATGATTAACAAAATTTTGTCTGATTACACTAATAAAGAGTGCGATTTCTATGTTGATTATAGCATGCCTCTTACTTGATATACTGTAATTATTAAAAAAAAATATATTCAAAAGCAACACACAAGTTTCTTGCTCATTCCGAATGAGTGGTAGAATCAAAATATGAGTATTCAAAACTGCTTGTAATGAGTTTATTTGAATAAAGATTATTTATATTTCCAATGATCTTGTAAAACAACAAGAACTAATTATAACTAGTAATAACTATGTAATTTATTGGAATACTACATCAAAAGTATCCATGTTGACTATTCAAACGTTTGGATTAATTCTATGTTTTTATACATCATTTCTATTTCTAATGCCATTAACGTATAACTTAAAGTGAAATGAAAATTGTTTAATGATTATAAATTAATATACTTTGGGCAATAGGTAATTAGAAAGAAGAATCTCAAAGTGAAATATCAAAGTGATGTATAAAGTTGAAAGAGGTATAATAAAATACCAGAAGATTTACGGAACTTAACGTAAATTTAGCTTTATTCATTAATTATATTTATTAATTTTAGAGCGATGCTCTTGTCGGTGGAGCTCTTGCCACATCCCACGATCTTCCATTATACTCTTTTAAAATTGATACGTCACATCTCCAATTCTGTCTTTAATTTACTTGATGTAGCTGTGTCTTGGTCTGCCTCTCCCCTTCTTTTCTTCTATTTTTCCCTCAATTCAAAATTCCAAATATCTTTAATCATGTAGGTCAATTACAGACTCTTATGATATATCAAATCTACCGTCAGTTCGGAATGATTTCGAGATGAGAAGCTCGTATTCTTTTCAAATTATTGTTATACATGTTTACAATAATACAGATTCTTTTTTAAATTCAAATTTAAGAGAAAAGGGTGACCACGAGCTTATGCTATTGCAAAAGCAAATAGAACAGTCCCCACACACAGCCGGGTGCTGTGTGTGGGAACTGTTTCACGAGTATGACGGATGATAACTTTCATAACTTCTTCGTTAGTTATAGTTTAGAACTTAACTTAATATGCTATCGTTGTCGTCGATCTTATATTGTATTAATTTATTGATAAAGGCTATAACAGAATAGCAGAGAAGGTGGACTCACTGCCCTCACTGAGTTATAGACCGTTTTGTCTCCTTCATTAGTTTTAAATTTTATTATTGTATTGCAACAATTATATTAGTTTTTGTTTGAGACAAAAAAGTTTCTTTTTTTTTCTCTCAGCTTTTGCTGGTTTTTTTTTAAATTATTATTATTATTATTATTTTCAGTTTCCGGATGGGGCCAAAGACATCAGCAATGTGTTCTTTTATTCCTATGCCTCACAATTGCATACAGCATGCGATCTTGCATGGGAGTGTCTTTGGTAGCAATGGTGATGCATGATAACAAATTACCCAATTACAATAATACTAATCATACAGATGCTGCTATTGTTCTTAATGAAACAATAGTTGATAATAATTTAACTATACTATCACCAGTGAATACAACAGACAAACATACTAGTTTATATATCAGTGAAGAGGCATATGAATCTGCAGGATTCTTCAATACGTTAATGCTGACGCCACCAGTAAGTACTGCTTGATTTTTTTTTTAGCAGATAGATAGAAGCAGATGATTATAATGATTTGCAAAGGTGACTTTATATACATAATAGTAATCTCTCATAACTCAAAGGTGACTGACATAGTGATCTATCAACGCACAGCCGAAACCACTGGACGAATCGGTCTGAAATTTGGCATGCAGGTAGATGTTATGACGTAGACATCCGCTAAGAAAGGATTTTGATTAATTCTACCCCCAAGGGGATAAATAGGGGATGAAAGTTTGTATGAAACTTTGTCAATTTTAAACCGATCGGGCTGAAACTTTGCATGCAAAGCTACTATAACGTAGGCATCCCCTAAGAAAGGATTTTGATAAATTCCACCCCTAAGGGGATAAATTAACGCGAGCGAAGCTAGCAAAAGCTAGCAAAAGCTAGTCGTGTATAAAATAGTTCTCGTGAAATAAAGATTTAAAACGCTCAAGTATAAGTGATATCATGTTTTTTTAAAAAAATGAAATTTTCAATTTTTGTATATTAATATCTAACATTTTTTTATAAAATTGTATTTTTATTAGAATGTGCCACGTAGTGGTGAAGTTTTAACTAAATACCTATATTGTATTTAATGTATTTAGTGAAACTTCGAAATCATTAATAATTACACACATTATTAAATTTATTTAACAATATTTTGATCATTAAAAGTGCTAAAATTAAAGTATAATTCAAAAACATTCTGAAAATAATATTATTATTTTTTGTATATGTTTAATATTGTTTTCTACATGAATCGACTTTTAAAATTGATTTCTTGTTCGTTTGAAAGATGATGCTTTTCCATAAAGCTATATATATATGTACAATAGATCAAGCCTCGTGGCGTGCCTTGGGAGAGGCCTAAGTCCAGCAGTGGACTGGAGTGGGCTGATGATAATGATGATGAGATCGAAATTTGAACCTCTGAACATAATGTATCAATCAAACGATTGTCAAAAGCCACACCTTTTTTTACCAACTCTTTATCGTTACGTTTCATTACGAAATATGTAGAGACCGGATGCCGACGAGCTTTAACATTTCATTGTGTTAACATATCAAAGGTTTAACTTACAATGTCAACACGAAAGATAATTTTTCGTTATCGGTATCTAATAATACCAACAACGAAATTATCTTTCGTGTTATATATTACTCTTAAAATAAATACAAGGATTAAAAAATATATCGTTAAATAAAATGTAAAATACATAATGCATAATTTATGCGTTTAAGTTTAAATTAAAGAAACAATCTATATCAAAATACATATATCATTACATAGTATAAAACAAAGTGTGTTATACTAGTAAAGTCAAGTATGACAATGATAACCTACATTGACACTATGTTACACAGAATGTTACTTTTCACTTAAGTATATTGTAAAATACTATATACTTAAGTGAAAAGTAACATTCCATTAACACGATCAGTGCAATATGTGACAATGACAATATATACTTACACATGTTATATGTTACACATTATAAGTTACACTTCTCCATTCATTACATAGTATAAAACAAAGTGTGTTATACTAGTAAAGTCAAGTGTGACAATGGCAACCTGTGCATACACTGTGTTACACATTTTACTATATACTTAAGTGAAAAGTAACATTCCATTATCACGAGCAGCGCAATAAGTGACAATGAATATATGTACTTACACATGTTACATGTTACACATTATAAGTTACACTTCTCCCATCATTACATAGTATAAAACAAAGTCGCTATCGCTAACTGTCCGTCTCTATGTATGCTTAAATCTTGAAAACTACGCAACGGATTTTGATGCGGTTTTTCTTAATATATATAGATAGATAGAGTGATTCAAGAGGAAGATTTATATGTATAATACATGTACACTCGTGCGAAGCCCGGGCCAGTAGCTGGTATATATATAAAACTCTAGTGTTTGTACCTGCTCCGAAACTGCTTGAACGATTATTATGAAATTCTGTGTGTATGTTCAGCAGGTCTGAGGATAAGGCTTAAACTAAATTCTTCATACGCCTTAAGATGGTCCAATGCATTTTTTTTTGCATTATATTTTCTTCATTCATTTCGAACCCCAGTTTGTTTTTATATTTTTGATTTAATAAATTTTAATTTAATAAATTTTAACTTATTATTCTTCAGCTTTATAAAATATATAATAATATATATATAAATTGTCACCTTTCTACCCTCACCCCCTATTTTTGAAAATAATTAATTTATATAGCACATAACAACATTTACCGGCCCATCTAGTAATTAAAGATAAAAACAAACTCTTTGTAAAAACACACTTACGTTCAGTATTTTATATACGAATTGAATCTTAATCCTTGAACAGCAATACAATGTAATACGAGGGTAACAGTGTGATATATGTATTTAGTTTTGTACGTGTAATAAGATTTCTTTCAATTACAAAAAAAAATGTACATATGCCCTTTTATAGCCCAGTTTTCACTATAATTATCATCATTTTAATCACAATGTTTGTAACATTATATTCATTTCGACAGCACGGTGGTCTAATGGTTTAGTATACCGCTTTACGTCCGATGGTCGCGGGTTAGATTCCTCGCATGGTACAAACATTTGTATTCATGAGTATGATTGTGTGTATCTGTCTGGGTGTTTTCTATGTATAATATGTATTTATCTTAAAAAAATAATGTATCTATATGAGTTCAGTATCTGTATCAGTATTTATATCAGTTGTCTAGTACATATAACACAAGCTCTGCTTAGCTTGGGACTAGATGGTGTTGTATGCATTGTCCTGAAATATTATTATTATTATTATCTCTTTATATATATATTATATATTCCACTTTGATGGGGTAATAGACTGATCATTGCGGGTAAAAATCACCAAACAATGACTGTATAAATGATGAATGATGTGGACGGATAATTTTTAAGTGGAAGACAAAAATTTGCGGACTATTCTACAAGTGTTTAATATTACAGCTTTTTGGAGAAGGATGAAAGTAAGTGGGTGAAGTTGTAATATCTTGAGGCTAGTGTGTAGGGATGCTGGGATGACACCTGTGGACGAGATAATAATTGGGAGAGTTTTCACTGTTTCTACCTGCCATTGTATTTTTAGTTCTATTGCCAAATCAGTATATTTAGCAATTTATTATTATTGTTATTATTTGATTTTTATATTTCCTCCTTTGTATGAATGTTTTGTTTAATTACTTTCCTCTTACAAGATCAGGCATGAAAACTCACACAGTCTATCTCACTACGTCACTTTTAAGTACAACACCACAATTAAATATCATAAATTTTCTAAAATCTCACTTATAAAAACCCACAATGCTCCACACATTTGTGTTGTAAATATTTGTGCATCATAACGGGTCTTATCTATATATCTATACATATAAATATAATTGGAGTGTCTATTTGTAAGAATGTGTCTTATCATCAATAAATTAGTAAATTAACAATTTTTTTATTTGACGTAGTGAGGCGTATGGTTATTATAAAACAAACCTCGATAGTACAACGTTGCAGCATAATGACGGTTCTACTTACCAAAGACACAAAAATTACTATATTTATATAAAAAGTTGATAGATAAAAAAAAATATATCACAGTTATAAAAACCTACAATGTGTGTAAAACGTTGGAACATAATGAGACGGTTCTGCTTACCAAAGACACAAAAATTACTATATTTACATTAAAAAGATGATGGAATAAAACAAAAAGAAAAACAAAAAACTCAGTTACAAAAACCCACAATACTCCACACATTTGTGTTTTAAATATTTGTACATCATTACGAGTCTTATCGTCAATAAATTAGTAAAACAACAAATATGAATAACATTTGACGTTGTGAGGCGTGTGATTATTGTAAAACAAACCTTGATAGTAAGATATTACGTTGCATTATCTGAATGACGTAATACAACATCTGATTGAGATTTTGAAGCATTTGGAATTTTTTAGTCTCAGTGATGACGTTGTCGTACATTATTAAGTAGAAATAACTTTATTCATGGAAGTTTATTTACAACAACAGTGAATCTAACAATGATACGTATCATTATTTAGGTAGGTTTATTACAAACTCTTATGATAAGTCAAATCTGTCTTCAGTTCGGAAAGTAGTTCGAACTGAGATGAACTGACAAACCTTACTCTTTTCAAATGCGATTGTCATTCATCTATATACATAAATAAAATTGGACTGTCTGTTTGTAATATTGAAATAACCGTATTTTACTACATGCATATGAATATAAATACGGTGCATACACCAAAATAACATTTTTTTCAATTTTTGTCTGCCTGTCTCTCGGTCTGTTTATTCCGGCTAATCTCTGAAATGGCTGGACCGATTTCGACGGGACTTTTTTTGGCAGGTAGCTGCTATAAGAAGTAACTTAGGCTATTTTTATTTTAGAAAAATAAAGTTAAATTCCACGCGGACGAAGTCGCGGGTATAGTTAGTATTATATATAAGTAGAGATTTACTATCAGAGTTATATTTTTTACAGTACCCAAGATTTGGATGGAGCAAACAAGTTCAAGACAGTGTTATAGCATCCTTCTTCTGGGGCTACGTAGTGCTGCAAATTCCAGCTGGACAATTAGCACATCGTTTCGGATCTACTGCCTTGCTCTCAATTGCATTGCTTATCAATTGCGTAGTATCTTTGGGATTTCCTTTGGCTTCTCATTACGTGAGTATATTCCACTTTATTATTATTTATATAAGTCTGTCAATAGCCCTAATTAGACTAAACATTCCATTATTAATTCCTGGAAAATTGGTCACGATATGTGTTTGTCTTGGTCAGTTATGACCTAGTTATTATGTGGAAGGAGGCAACGAAGGGGAGCAGGATTCTGCTCCACTTGAAGCTAATCCTAAGCAGAATTTGGCCTAGATGTAGGGCCGTACCCAACTCCGCCTTACCTCTATCTCCCACTGGGATCAAGATACGTGCCTTGAGAGAGGCAGCGCCTTAATTAAATAGCCACGACAGCGATTACCCACACGTTTCAACAATTGAGAAGAGTAAAATAGGTCGCCCTAACAATGAGCTGGGGCCTGCCTTACACTATCTAGGGTCCCAGATAATGTAGGACAGGCCTACGTTGGCCTACCAACGGTAGTCAGGCTAAGGCGATCTCGTAACTTCAGCAATGAACAAATCCTATTTCCTATTATAATAAGGTACAAAGTAATAATTTAATCTAAATTTATTTTACAGGGTGGTTGGGTATTCGCAGTCATATTTAGAATAATTCAGGGTCTGAGTCAAGCATGTGTTATACCGAGCCTGCACACAGCTCTTGGGAAATGGGCGCCTCTAGCGGAGAGAGCTAGAATGTCAGCTTTCGTACATGGAGGTATTATCTATATGTATACTAAATTATTAATGCGAAATCTGACTGTCTTTATGTTTGTACCTTGTCGTAACTAAACAGCTGGATTGATCTTAATGAAATTTGACGTGAAGATAGACTATATCACATACGCTATCATTTGTCTGAAAAGTAAAGCTGAAAAAATCTCCGGTAATAGTATTATTAAATATCTGTAAGCTAAGTGAGGTAAAAATATAAGAATGCTTTAAGGAGTATGCAATAGTATGTTTTAAATAAGTCATATTCATTTTATTCATACATGTTAAGTGAAATAAGACTATATAATTGGCAAAATCGTGACACAGTTTTGAATTATCTGAAAAAAAAGAAAAATACGATAGGACTTTACTGCTCTAACTATAAATTGACAAGTATGCTTTAAAAGATATGACTATAAAAATAAATATAAACATATAATACAGATGATATACATATGTAATACTAATATACAGCTCAGCAGTACTTAAAATTTCTTACCCAAAACAAAGAAATTTACACCATGTACGAATACACTTATGACATATTTTTAAACAGAAATATCATTAATTTTTGTCTTGAAAATATTTCAGGATCAGCATTAGGCACAGTACTAGGACTTCCCATAACGGGTTTTATTGCAACTTCACCACTCGGTTGGCCAGGGATTTTCCGATTCTATGGAACACTTTCCGGAATTATGGGAGTTGCAATATGGCTGCTTGGTGCTGACAATCCTGCAAAGCATCCTAAAGTATCAGCTGAGGAAAGAATGTACATAGAACAGGATTTGGGACAGCATGACACGAAGGTAAGAATATATCAATTGTCCTTATTTTCCCTGTATAATAATTAAAAATAATAACCTAAAATGTATCCCTCTGACTAAACAGACATCCCATAATCATCATCAGCTTCTTCTTTACCCCAATTATTTATTGGTCGGCGTAATATGTTTCTCTCTTCCATTCTTCCCTGTTCGCAGGCATTACTTACTCCCTTTCTTACCATATCGTCCTTCACACAGCCTATTTATCTCATTTTCGGCCTTTCTTTACCCTTATGACCATCCATATGTAACACTTTCCTTAAAACATTATCTGTATTATTGTTATCTGTATAATATATATAATCTCTCTTTTGGGATAAGTTCGCTATTGTACCCATTTATTTTTAAAGTTATATGCATACTTTTATACATAACCTGTACAATAAAGAATTACAAATAAACAAATGTATCAGTTTCTTGTCTGTTCTTCTTAAATGAAGTAAAAACGGCAAGAATAGTAATAAAAACGTTGATGTAAGAGACTAAATTAAAATTCAATTCAATTCAAAATTTTTACATCCCCGGTTTTCTAGCAGTTTAGCCCACTGCTTTACTTCCGATGCTTGAGGATTCGATACATTAAAAATATAGTTGTTTACATTGACATTACAAAAAAATGTATCTATGTATTTATATCAATTATCTAGTACCGTAACGCAAGCTCTGCTTATCTTGAAACTAGATGGCGCTGTGTGATTTATCCTGAGAAATTATTATTATATTATTTGGTAATATAATTTATAGTTGTACCTTCTTTTAAGTGAAGTGAAGTAGTTGTAGTTGCTTATAAATATACTATTTACTATAATACATAGCAAATTTAATAATATTTTCTGATACTGATAGTACAGAATTAATAATATTATTTAGCGATTTATCATTAACATATTATTAATATATCATTAATATTAAAATTTAATAGTAAATTTTAATGTAAATTAATTTCAGAAAAAAATAGCCATACCTTGGTCCCGCTTACTGCGCAGTCGCGGCCTGTATGCCATAGTAATTGCCCACACTGGGTATTCTTGGGGCAATTTGTTTCTATACTCCGAGGTACCTTCTTACATGAACAAAATAATGGGTGTAAATATCAAAGCGGTGAGTGAAAGATTTCTATTTATTATCAAGGAGCTCTTGCAATAGAAAAGGGGTTTATCAGTCCTCTCTTCCAGGTTGTCTGTAAGAAATTGCTTATTTCTGACTTACTGTTTAGCTTATTGTATTTCTTATCAGATATGAGAAATACAATAAGCAAAATAGTAAGTAGAATAAAAAAAAATTAATAATATTTTTTTTTATTCTACTTACTATTTTACTGTAAAAAGTTGTATGCGAGGTGTCTAAATCTCACCTATTTCAGCCGCCAAATAGCTTGCTAGCTTGCTTTGTAAAATATGTTTCAGCAAGGGTGCAGAGTAGGCAATGAAATTACAGGATATGGAGCATGACATTTTAGTCCTTTAAGATGGTAACGCATAAGTGGTATCGCAGGTGTAACTTAATAACATCATTGTTCGGATTAATACCAGCTGCTGAGTTTCACCACCGTACCACCCGTCAGAAACTGAAATACCATCCTGATCATCTGGATGAACGGCGGTCTTCCACCGTGCGGTTTTCTAGATACTTTTTGCCTCGCACAACCACATTATGGAATCACCTTCCAGCAATGGTATTTCCGAACCGATACGATATTGAAACCTTCAAGAAAAGAGTTTATTCCTTTTTAAAAGGCCGACAACGTACTTGCAATTCCCCTGGTGTTGCGCTCATGGGCGGCGGTAATCACTTACCATCAGGTGAGCCGCATGCTCGTTTGTCCCCTATGTTATAAAAAAAAAATATCCGTAGGTTCATGTACACACATAGGCGACAGTTACCACTTACCATCAAGTTGGGCATTAGCTTGTTTAACATTACAATTACATAAAAATATAGAAGCATTATAAAATTAAAAGATTAGTTTTAATACAATGTGAATATTTAAGGCAAAATTAAAATTGAAATATTATTTCAGAATGGCATGTTGACGGCTCTCCCATTTTTCGTTATGTGGCTTACAAACTTCTTCTTCAGTTGGTTTGCTGACATGATCATTGTTAAGAAGTACTTCAGTGTAACGACTACGAGGAAACTGGCCAACTCTTTGGGTAAACTTTTTTTAGCTTTTAGTTAGAGATATTTTATTTTAATCGTTTATAATAATAACAATCTCAGGACAATTCACACAGCGCCATCTTGACCCAAGTTAAGCCAGCTAAAGCTTGTGTTATGGGTACTAGATAACTGATACGAATACATAGATAATTTTTTTTTCGTAAATACATACATAATATACATAGAAAACACCCAGACCGATACAAACAATCGTACTCATGAATACAAATGTTTGTGCCGTGCGAGGAAATGAACTCGCGACCATCGGACGTAAAGCGGTGTGTTAGACTGCTAGACCACCGAGGTCGATGGTGGTCGATATAAGGGAAACTTTCGGTGATAGCTATTACGGAAAAGCTTAAAGAATGTAGACTTAGATGGTATGGAAATATTGTGCATAAAACCACTTAGTGAAAAAGTGCCTTTCAATGGCTACGATAAAAAGAGGATGATACAAACCACTGACTTCCTGGTTGAGTAATATCCATATGGACGTCGAGGAGTTGGGCCTGTCAAATGACGATGCTTACCAGCGAAATGCATAGCGCTTCAAAATTAGGAAAGTCGACCTCGCGTAACTGGACGAGGCGAGGATGATGAAGAGTTGAAATTTAGACGTTGGGCCCATAGAGTCAAGACTCCAAATTGTTTTTGACGTGTATCAGCGCGGTTTAACGAGGTTACTAGTGATCTGAGAGCTGGTAGCTACTTTGTCCAGAAGATAAGTATTCAAAGAGACAACACTGCCAGTATCCTGAGTACATTGCCTCGATGTGTTGCGTTTGATTACAATGATTGTTTTTTTTTAATTGTGAATTACTTTTTTTATCCTTCTGACATATGGTCCATGCTCTTAGAAATTTGTTTTTTTTATTTCATTATGCTAAGGTTCTTGTTTTAGGCTCTCATCATTATATCATTACATAGTAAAACAAAGTCGCTGTCGCTGTCTGTCCGTTCTTATGTACGCTTAAATGTAATTGTTTGTAACTAATAAGTTACATTAAATTATTAAATGTAATATTTTTTAATAAATTTGGCATAATGAAAAATAGTTACAATTTATTTAGTATTTCATTTACACTATTCACCAACTGAATGTAATGTACTATTATTTGATCTACTATTCTTAGGCTCGTTATTATTTGCCTCAATATAAGATATAATATAAGATTATATTCCGATCTTCGCTTTTTACCCGTAGTTTCTTTTAATAATATTTGGAAATTTAAAAACATTGTTATATCCGTATTCCATAGTAATAGTTTAATATTTTTTTATAACACAGGGGACAAACGAGCATGCGGCTCACCTGATGGTAAGTGATTACCGCCGCCCATGAGCACCCGCAACACCCACGTTGTCGGCCTTTTAAAAAGGAATATCGTATCGGTTCGGAAATACCATTGCTGGAAGGTGATTCCACAATGTGGTTGTGCGTGGCAAAAAGTTTCTAGAAAACCGTACTGTGGAAGACCGCCATTCATCCAGATGATCAGGATGGTATTTCAGTTTCTGGCGGGTGGTACGGTGTTGAAACTCAGCAGCTGGTATTAATCCGAATAATTCCTCAGAACACTCCCCGTGATATATGCGGTAGAAAATGCACAGAGATGCAATATCTCGCCGCAAAGCCAATGGGTCGAGTCTGTCACATAGACATAGTTTAATATTTTTAATTAATATGTTTTTATTCATATTCTTTCAGGTTGCGTGCCGGCCGCTGTGTTATTTATTGCACTGGCTTATGCTCCGAGTAATATTTATGTAGTTGAAACAATTTTGGTTTTAATTTGCGCTTTCAATATATCCTCGCATGTTGGTTTTCAGGTGAGTACGAATTTAATTAAGGTAATTTTTCTATCGTAAATTAGTATATTGTTTCTTCTTCTTTATGTGCCGTCTCCTACCGGAGGTTGGCGATCTTTATCCACTGCTATTCTGAACAAGGATCTGGTGCTAACCCCAAACGCCTGCCTTTGATTCTTCAGCCATGAAGTGCGGCGCCTGCCTGGTCTTCGGTGGCCCTGGATTTTGTATATTGTTACTTTTTTATATTTCATTAGGGCTAATGATCTAAATAGTTATTTATGAGAAATGTTTATACAAAATTTCATCAAAATGCTCCAAAAGTTTTGGGGGAAATAGGTGGCAATAACTCGTAATTATTTTTATACGAACAATTGTTATAATAATAATAATCACAGGACAATACATACAGCGCCATCTAGTCCCAAGTTAACTAAATCTTGTGTTATAGGTACTAGATAACTGAAATAAATACATTGTTTTTATATATATAGAAAACACCCAGACTGATACAAACAATCACACTCATGAATACAAATGTTTATGCCGTGCGAGGAATCGAACCCGCGACCACCGGGTATAAGACGGTGTGCTAAACCACTAGACCACTGAGGCCGACAAACAGTAACTAATTAAATAAATTAAAGTTTGACATGAATAATTAAGTAAGAAACGAAGAACTACTACACAGGGTAAAAGAAAAAAGGAAGATATTGAACATAATAGAAAATAGACGAGGAAAAATGTTACGACACTTGATACGGCACGATGATTTCATGAAAATTATTATTGAAAGGAAAATAGAAGGAAAGAGGGGAGGGGAAGACCAAGGAATAGCTACATCAAACAAATTGAGGACAAAATGGGAGTCGTGTCGTATCAAGAATTAAAGAGCATGATGGAAGATCGCGGAAAGTGGCAAGAGCTCCACCGACAAGAGCTTAGCTCTTAAATTATGAATGAATGATGAATGAATAATTATAATATCAATACTATTGCAGGTAAACCACATCGACATCTCGCCAAACTTTGCTGGCATCATGATGAGCATCAGTAATTTCTTCTCGAACCTCGTCGGATCGTTAGCGCCAATTGTTACAGGCCTCATCTTAAAGAGCGATCCGGTATATTTTCACATATTATTAATTTTACAAAACAAAGGCTTCGATTCCTAATCTGTAGGCATAAGTATGTATCACTATCTGGGCTAATAACTACTTTTGTACGAATATAGAAAAAGCTATGCTTAGAGTTTCTCTGAGGGATAAAATCCGAAACGAAGTAATTCGCCAGAGAACTAGCTCTCACAGACATAGCTCTTCGCATCTGTAAGTTGAAGTGGCAGTGGGCTGGTCATATCTGTCGCAGAACCGATGCTCGCTGTAGTAGGCGTGTTCTAGAGTGGAGACCGTGAATTGGCAAACGTAGTGTAGGACACCCCGCAGGTAGAGCGATGGCCTACGTAGGGTTGCGGGTAGTAACTGGATGACGGCTGACGATCGTATCCAGTGGTGTGCCTTGGGAAAGGCCTATGTCCAGTAGTGGACTGCAGTGGGCTGATGATGATGATGATGATGTACCAACATAAAATATTTAGGTTTATTAATAATGCCATTATGATAAAGTATTATACATATACTCAAGACAGTACCTCTTTCTCTAACTGCCTTTACACGTAATCTCTTTCACGCGCAAATCGACTTTCATGTCGTAACATCATAACATCTACCTGCATTCCAAATTACACCTCGATCCGTTCAGTAATTTGGATAGATCACTATGTCAGTCACCTTTGAGTTATATATATTTAGATTGCAAAATGCCGGACACTAGGCTATAGACCAAAATCATAATTATAGAGTTAATGATAATTTATAAATTTTACGCGTCTTTCGAACTATGGAATATAAAATGAAATTGTAATACAAAGTGAAATAACATTAAACCTAAGCAAAATAGTGAAGACTTTAAATAGATACGAGTAAATATAATAACTTGCGATAGCACGCGCTGGCTGCTGGCACTAAATCTCGGGCGCTTCAGAGAACGTGTTCTGTAAAGACAGCTAAAATCTCCTTTATGTCTGTCGAGAGAAGCAGCTTATATTAATATTGTTTTAGTTTAACAGCCGTAGTCTAAAAACATCGATATAAAACCTTACACCAACGTGCTTTCTTATTTAATTTTGTTTTAGGTTTCTATCCTAACTTAATTATTAAGGTATTGCCAAATTTAAGACAATTATAATTAATGCAACCAAATCAACTTCCAGGCAAGCAAATATCTGTGGAGACAAGCGTTCTTCGTGGCAAGCGGTCTGTACTTCTTCTCCAATCTCATCTATGTACTAATTGGTACTGCCGAATTAGCTGAATGGAATGACCCTGACACTACAGATGCCCCGAAAAACGAAGAAGAAAATACACCAATACTCGAAAAACCTAATGTCGTAAAAATTTTGTAACTGTATAATTTATATAAACTCAGTATAGCAATTATTGAGAAGTATTGTGTAGAATTGTGATTTACTTGAAAATCTAAAAACGCAGTCAGCAGTGACGATGTCCTTATATATCTGTCCAATTCTCATGAATGTTATGATTTCACTAATATTATTAATGTGGAAGATGTTTGAATAGTTAAACAACATATAACATAGTTGTAACATTCAGATCAACTTTAAAACTACTGACACTTGTAGGAAATAGGTATACAAAGAAAACGTATACCAGGATATATTTAGTAAATATTATTTTTTAATTAAGACCGTATCTCTAATACGATTAAAGATACATCATTTACAACAAAGTCGACATGGTAAACAAATCCATTAAAAAAACGAAGGATTTCATAGGAAATAGATCAAAAAGATTAGCAAGACGAAAAAAAATAAGAAAGAAATGTTTTCAAATAAAGACCCAATAAAGTAAACACAATCGCCGGATCTACGCGATTGGATGGAGTCAATCCATTGGATTGAGTGACATTCTTTCAATTTTACAAAAGCATGGTGTTTATGAATGCAGATTCTTTTTGATCAATTTCTATAGATTACCTTAAAGAAGCATATGATGGATTAGACAAAATGACGTCAGGTCTTACTTTGTGAATACATCAGGATAATCATTATAGTTGTTAATACCTGATAATTTCTGCATAACAATTTGATATATTCAACTTATTTGTGTTTAATACTATAGATTGCCTTAACAAAGTATAGGTTAGAAGTAGGTCAGGTTAAATTTTGTAAATACATCGGCATAATCATTATAGCTTTTAATATCTGAAAAATTCTGCATAATAGTCAGATGAATGCACACTATTTGTGGTTAATTTCCATTGATTGCGTTAGGATTGTATAGATAGAATAAGGTTAGGTCAATCTTTGTAAATACGTCAGGATAATCATTATCATTGTTACTTCCTGATAAATTCTGCATAACGGTCTGATGGATGCAGATTATTTCTGGTTAATTTCTATAGATTACCTTAACAAAGTATAAGATACTATAGATATAATGTCAGATCAAAATTTGTAAATACTTCAGTCAATTACTTACAGTTCAATCATTATAGTTGTTAATCCTGATAAATTTGTTATAACGTCGACCTAAATTGATTGTTACTAGTTCATTGCTAATATTCCTCTACTTTCCTTTATTAGGTTAGGCTCATAATAATGGTTGATAAGTAACTGAAAAGATGCTGATTCTAGATGCTAAGATCATCTTTTCTAATTCTTAATATTGTGTAAGTTTAAATTATTTTTTAATTTATAATTCTGTAAATGTGTTTAGTGAATCTGTATCGTTTATTTTATGTGTACCATTTGAATATAGAATAATTTTATTTTTTAACCATGCATCTATTTGTAAATTATCGTTGTATAGATTTGTTTTATTTGTATTTAGGTATGTAATGTAAATAATTATAGTGATATGAGTTATATACTAGGCAGTGTAGAGAAAAAGAAAGAAGTGTGATTGAATTGCAGCGTTTAATATTACACTGTTTCTTCGAAATGGCGTAGGTTGTATCGCATTATGGCTGTCTGTTTACTTGATATGATCTATGAAAGTTATTGAAAAAATGTAGCCATATTTTAGATTACTTTGGCGGTCTAGCGGTTTAGCATATCGCCTTATAAGGTCAAGGGTTCGATTCCTCGTATTATACAAATATTTCTATTACAGTAATGTTATGATCTATTATTATAATAGAATATAGAAAATTATAATTTTTAGTGTTATACATTATTTATAGGTTGTTACAATATATTGACTATTTATAATGGTTGTTTTATTTATTATTACATAGTATAAAACAAAGTCGCTGTCGCTGTCTGTCCGTCCCTATGTATTCTTAAATCTTAAAAACTACGCAACGGATTTTGAAGCGGTTTTTTTTAATAGAAAGAGAGGAAGGTTCGGCTACCGGCTTTGCCCGGGTGTACACGTAACCCGGGCGAAGCCGGGGCGAATAGCTAGTAGAATATATTTCAAAGAGTTACATGTTATGATGATTAAGTTTAAAAAACTTTCCAACCATGAAAAGTATTCGTGATTTGTAATGTTTTGCAGCGTAGTTTTAGCCTAGTTTTGATATGGGCGGTTCGTTTTAGGAAAGAAAAATCTTTACATTGTCTCTGTTCACTGTGTCTGTTCTATTATATATTAAAAGTCCTCAAAAAAATATTCAAAGGTAACAGAAGTAAAGCATATTTATTAAAAAGTAGGAATAATTTTTAAATACAAATTAAAAAAATAATTCACTGATATTTTAGTCATATAGTAATATTTACTGAATTTTATTTCTCCCTATATATTCTGGGTACCCACTATGTAGTCTAACAAGTACTAACAAACAGTTCATGCATATGAAAAACCAATGACTGAATCAAATGACGGGGAAGATAATTCTCTACAACTTTGCTATTTTATTCGTGTTCATTCATTTATTGATAATTTAAGAGCGACGATCTTGTCGGTTGAGCTCTTGCTATTTTCTACGATTTTCCATCATGCTCTTCAAATCTTGATACAACACAACTCCAATTGTGTCTTTCATTTGATTGATGTAGCTGTTGCCCTGTTCTTCCCCTCCTTCTCTTTCCTTCTATCTTCACTTTTCTTCTATTTCATCTTATCTTTCCTTCTTTCTTTCCTTTTCAAGTGTCCCAATATTTTCCTCGTCCATTTTCTATATTATTTAATATCAGCCTTTTTTCATCCACTCTGTGAAATACTTCTTCATTTCTTAATTTATCTTTCTAGTTAATTCTTTTCATACTTTTTCAGCACCGTATTTCAAAAGTGTTTTCCTGATGGAACTGTGTTTTGTTAATTTTTAAATTTGTTTTATTATGCTTAGCAAACTTAATTGTATTATTGATTCATCGTTATGAAATGTAATAGTTGGTCGATCAAGTGAGAGCAAAGTGTAGATCTTTTCTATAAAACTCGAAAGTTTGTAAGTATACATGCACAGTTGGATGGATGGATATTTGTTACTCATTCACGCAAAAACTGCTGAACGGATTTTAATGAAACTTAACAGTAATATAGCTTATACAACAGAGCATACAGCAGAATAATAAGCTATAAATTTTATGCAAATGATACTGCGGGCAAAGCTAGTATAAAATGAAAGTATATGAAATAATACAAAAATTCAAGATCAAAAATTAATACCCACAATGACTGTGCATTGATAGATTAGAACTTAGAACCATCAAGGAAGTCAATGTGTGTAATAGAAGAAGATTGTGTAAATTATTTTCAGATAAAAAGATGAAAAATCATCCGATGTTTGTTTGAAACAAACATTGACATAATTAATTGTTTCGAATGATAATTATTACATTACTTGCATTTAGTTTGAAATACACACGAACGTAGGTTGTGCATAGTCAATGTTATAAATATAATAATGTCAAAAGAAATTAAAAATAATTCTGAACCAACTAATGATATTGATAAAAAAGGTACTTACTTACATGTTACTATTTTCACAAAGCCTTTGCTCACATTATTTCCAATTAATATGGTTACTGCACCTAAAAGTACAATAAAGAATGTATAACAAAATTCATTGCTAAAATTTAAACCAATACTCGATATTTAAAAGTATTTAAATTTGATTGAATTGAAACTGTAAACTCTAATTTATTTATTTAAAAGTTGCATAAAATATCATCATCATTATTAGCCCTCTGCAGAGCACTGCTGAGCATAGACTTCTCCCAAGGCTCGCCACTGGGCACGATACAGTTAGTGCAACCCTATGTATGTTGTTGCTCCACCTAGCTGCGGTTCGTTATACGATTTGTTTGCCAATTTGCAGTCTCCACTCTAGAACACGTCTACTCCAGCGAGCATAGGTTCTGCGACAGATATGATCAGCCCATGACCGTTTCCATTTCCAAATAAGAAGAGTCTGTCGATGCATAAATAGTATACTAAAATATATTCGTTATAGTTTCAGGTTGGGGCCAAAGACATCAGCAATGTGTTCTCTTATTCCTGTGTCTTGGAACAGCTTACAGTATGAGATCTTGTATGGGAGTATCTCTAGTAGCTATGGTCAAACATGAAACCAAAATTATTGAGAACAATAATACAGAAAGTATTCTAAATAATATAACTTTAGATGCTAATATTACTACAGAATTGTTAGATGTTAAAGTTCCACAAACAAATGCTTATTTAAATGACTCCTACAAGGAAATTAAACTAGAAGGTTTCTTCAATGTACTATTACTAGCTCCACCAGTAAGTGTCTTTGTCGACGCGCTATCATAAGCACAATTCTATAGCAATATAAATTTTCTATAACTTTGTCAATTTTTGCCACTTTGTGAATTTCGTCTATAACTGCAATATTGTTTACGTACTACTATTGCATCCATTTGTTCACCTTCAAGTAGATTATTCGCATGCAGTATTTGAAGAATGCCATTAGCATCATGGTAACTGTGACTTAACTTGTATGACGTGACCATGAGAGTTGACTATACGACACTGATGGCTACACTTTAATACTTTTTGAAGGATAGATCTTCTTTTCTATTGTGATTATTTGCATTAAGCTGGCCATGTACATGTACTGTATCTGCGGTTTTACCCTTATGAAATTTATAGCCTGTATTATTCTGATGTATAAGCTATATTACTGTAAAGTTTCAACAATATCCTTTCAGTAGTTTTTGCGTAAAAGACTATCATATGTCTATCCTTCCACACTCACTTTCTTTCGCATTTATAACATTAGTAAGATGTTAACTCACTCTTTTTTCAGTATCCTACGTTTACATGGAGCAAGCAAGTCCAGGATACTATAATGTCCTCCTTCTTCTGGGGCTACGTAGTTCTGCAGATTCCTGCTGGACAACTGGCTCATCGTTTTGGATCTACAGCTCTGCTTACAATTGCATTGATTATTAATTGCATTGTATCTTTGGTATTACCTTTAGCTGCTTATTATGTAAGTTGAATTTTATTGATTACTGATTATTACCCGCAACTTAGTCTATATGGAATTAATATATTAGAAATGTCTAAAATAGAAGTAGCCAAAAATACTTCTTATAACATTAGCTAACTGCGAGTGATAGTCGTCAAAATCTGTCAAGCCATTTCAGATATTAACAAGAACAAACAGGCAGACAAAAAGCAAATATATTTTTTAGATGTAACTACCGTTTGTAGTTTAATATGCAATTAGTGAAAACTTGTTAATTTGAAATTGCAAACAGACACTTCAATTTTATTTATTTGTATAGGTAAATATAATTAAAGCCAGCAATGACTCAAATATATTTTCATAAATCAACCAAGTTCTTATGTGTCGAAATTATATTTTTTCGTAACACGATTTCTCTATTTTAAAATATGTATTTATTATAATGTTCAAATGATATCTATAAATTACATTACATCTTACCCGATTATTCTTGATTGGTCAATTACAACCTGAGTATCTTACCATTTGATGATCTATGCAGATTGGATATTATGCGAGTTCTGCCTAGTTTAGTGCATCTCAATTGCATTACTATTTTACTACATTCTGATGGTGTTTTTATAGGGTGGTTGGGTGTCAATTGTAATATGCCGGATAATACAAGGTTTAAGTCAAGCGTGTATTATACCGAGTCTGCATACAACTCTTGGGAAATGGGCCCCACTGGCGGAGAGAGCGAGAATGTCGGCTTTTGTTTATGGAGGTACGGTTATTTGTTATATATCATAATTTTCTTATTTAAAATAGCACATTTTTTATACAATTATATAATACAGCCCATCTGATGGTAAATGGTCACCGTCGTCTATAGACGACTGAAACACCAGGTGTGTTATCTGCGCTATCCTGACTCTTAATATACCCTTCTAGATAATTAAATAAAACTGCTATGACCACAAGGATGAATGTGCAAATAAAAAACCTGAATGATAACACCGCTGTTTTGGGGGGAAGGGGATTGTTAGTAATGGGAACTAGTAACTCCCATTGCTAGCAATGTACCATGTTAGGTCGACCTCCACGCGGTTCTCCCTGGAAACTATGATGAAATGATGAATCCTTGGTGAATTTGTCACGATGGGCTAACTGACCTGACTTCATACTCATCTTATCATCCTGCACTGGTGCCCCGCCAGCGTAAACCGTTAGCGCAGGCGGGTGCACCATTCCATTATCGTACACAAAAAAAAAACACCGCTGTTTTCACTAGCCGTTCACAGTTTAATGGCATCATGACGCCAGCAGTGTGCGCAAGAGACATAATGCTTCCTTCTCTTTCCCACATGTACTACAATAATAATAAAAAACGTGAAATTGAATAGGGGACCAGAATTTTATAGTAATAATGTACATGTATTTCGACTAAAAAGAGAACTTGTAATTCTAATAATGGTTAATGCCTGAGTGGCCCCTGAAATGGGTCATAATAACCTTTTCTGAAATGTCAGTCGTGATCATATTTTTCATTTTATTGCAGCATCAGCATTAGGAGCGGTACTAGGTTTACCCATAACGGGTTTCATCGCGTCTTCCGCTATGGGATGGCCAGGAATCTTTCGGTTTTATGGAACTCTTTCTGGTATTATGGCAGTAGTGATATGGAAGCTTGGGGCCGACAGTCCCGCAAAACATACGAAAATAACACCCGAGGAGAAATTGTACATAGAACAAGAATTGCATCAACATAATGGAAATCAGAAAGTAAGCTATGCATTATTATTACTTATTTCTGCAAAAGAATGCATTGTCTAAATGATATATAATAATTTCGCTCCAGTACATCATTTACATATAGGTGTCTAACAAATGTATTAATTTGATAGATAAAAAATATGTTTGGTTTGCCATTATTTTTTATGCACATTTAAATATCATATTTATATCACTTAATTTTTATTAAATTTCACCCGCACGAAATTTATATCCTGTGTATAAGCTGTTTACATATTACTGTAAATTTTCATCATTATCTGTTCAGTAGTTTTTGCGTAAAAGAGTAACAAATTTAACAGAGTAACAATCCATACTCTTAAACTTTCGAGTTTCAAATATTACGAGTAATAACAATAAATTGAAATGCATTCATCTGTTTACAAGAGAAAATATAACAAACAGAGAGACATTTGTTGACAGACAGACAAACTTTGAATTTTATAATCATTACATAGTATAAAACACAGTCGTTGTCGCTGTCTGTCCGTCCCTATGTCTGATTAAATCTTTAAAACTCAACGGATTTTGAAGCTTTTTTTTAATAGATAGAGTGATTCTAAAGGAAGTTTTATATATATAGTATATGTATACTAGGGCAAAGTGGCGAGTAGCTAGTATTAGTATAAATTAATAAGCAAATTGTTAATTGTAGAAAAATCCACCGGTCCCGTGGTCTCGTCTGCTGCGCAGTCGAGGTCTGTATTCAATTGTCGTTGCACATATTGGCTACACTTGGGGTCATGTGTTCTTCTATTCTGAAGTACCATCGTACATGAACAAGGTTATGGGCGTCAACATTAAGGCGGTAAGAGTTAACATCATCAATCAGTGCATCATCGGTCTTACATGATATAGAAATAGTCTTTATTCAAATAAACTTAATAAACACTTTTGAATAACAGATAAAAATACATGTAGATCAGAACTAGAGTCTCGGCTCCGATCTGATGAAGCTATAGATTTATTAATAAAATTTAAATTGCCATTTAAATTGATATTGCTATTAAAAGATCAAATTGTTGAAAGGTCCAAATTTAAGGATGTATGTATTTTTTAAGACCAAAAAAGATTTTACCAAAAATAACATTATTTTATACTAGTCCACCCTTATAACTTATAGTATATATTACATATGAATTATAGTATGAAAAATAGCTTACGTCCTATTCTCTACCTACTGAACATATGTAGGTACAAACAAAATTTCGTAAGGTCGGCAACGCGCAAGATACCCCTGGTGTTTCAGGCGTTCATAGGCTACGGTAACCATTTACCATCAGATGGACCGTATGCTTGATTGCCACCATCGTAGTATATAAAAAAAAAGGTTCGTTCGAGCCTTCTCGAAGGAGTTTTTTGACATGAAAATTTTATATGTTAGATAATAATAGATGCCTATAAACGGACGCTTTTTTACGCTCAAATTTCATGCAAGAAAGAATACGCATGTAAATGTAGCAAAAGAATGAATCGTGCACGTTCCTGATCACTTTACAGTTTACACGATACGTTCTTTCACGAACGTGCCGTGTAAAGGCAGCTATTGATTGATCTTTCAGAATGGCATGCTGACTGCGCTTCCCTTTCTAGTAATGTGGTTTACCAACTTTTTCTTCAGTTGGATATCGGATATGATCATCGTGAAGAAATACCTTAGTGTCACCACTACGAGGAAACTTGCTAATACTATCGGTAAGTAACCTTTCTTGACTGACTGATCAATGACTTCTATGGACTGTAACAAACACGGCGTTACTACAGGTGCATTCTTGTGGTTGCAATGAATGACTTCTATTGACTGTAACACCACGACTTTCCTTTGTACTCATTCTGGTGATTGCAATACCACCTGTAACTTTAGCAGAGATGACTCCTTTTCGGGCACTGTCTCGTTTTTCTTTAAAACTAGTAGCTATGTACCTAACGGATCTAGAGACCTTGCATGAATAATAAAGAACCAGAGTGACCAACATAGCCCGAAGAATTGCGAAACTGAAATGACAATGGGCAGAGCATGTCTCGTAAAACAGATGGTCGTTGGGGCAAAAAAGTCAAGTGGCGACCGCAGACTGGAAGACACTGCGTGGGAAGGCCTCCAGCAAGGTGGACCGACAATTTGGTCAAAATTGCTGAAAGGCGATGGATGCGAGCCACGCAGGACCGATTGTCGTGGAGATCTTTGGAGGAGGCCTTGTTCAGCAGTAGTCAGCTGAAATGTTGATGTTGATGAATAATAAAGATTACGATACCAGATTCTTATTATTCGACGATTTTGGTTTTCTATCAGCTTGCACACAACCCTTAGCTGCTTTAGTCGCGGCTTCGATACAAATATTTGTATACACGAATTCGTTGTTCCGAGTACTTTCTATATATATTACGTATGAATTTCCAAAAAAAACTGTATTTAAGTATATCTAGTAGTTGTCTAGTACCCATAACAGAAGCACTGCTTATCTTCGCACTAGATGGCACTGCATGAATTTATTATTATAATTTCAATAAGCATTGAAAGTATTAATAGTGACAAAAACTACTCTTTTAATTTGGTCCAAATATGTACAATAATTTCGGAGTTATATCGTAGAAGAATAGGTCATCAGTTTGTTAATTTATTTCATAAATATACATGGTAGAAAGCAGTGTAAGTAAGACATGCTCTATATAAAGGAACCGACGAAGCAAATATTACAATTTTGAAACATTTGTAATTATTTTCAGGTTCTGTGCCCGCGTCGATCGGTTTTATTGTGTTAGCGTACGCGCCTAACAATATATACATAGTGGAAGTCATTCTGGTTGTCATTTGTGCTTTCAATATTGCATCGCATGTTGGTTTTAAGGTAAAAAAATTATTATCCATCCATCTCCATATTATTTAGATACTTTTTTACTCATGATGGGATGATGCAATTGTGGTATGGGCATGTAATGCGTAGGAATGAAGATCATATCCTAAGGACGGTGTTACATATGAATGTGGATGGTTATAAGGGTAGAGGAAGACCGAAAAAGAGATGGATGGACTGTGTGAAAGATGATATGGTGAGAAAGGGAGTAAATAACGGAATGACTGCGAACAGAGATGAATGGAAGAGAAAAACATATTACGCCGACCCCAAATAAATGGGATAAGGAAGAAGCAGATGATGATGATGATGATGATGATGATGGGATGATGCAACCCGCCTGTGCTAACAGTTTGTTCTAGCGGGGGAGCCGATTAGCCAAACGAATTCACCAGAAATCTATCATAATGGTTTCCAAGAGGAACCGTTTGGAGATCAACTTGACATGGTACATTGCCAGCAATGGGCTTAATAGTCTTCCTTTTAGCCCATCTAGGGCTTATCAGTAGTATTGTTAACGTCGCGATGACCGTACGTGACACCCCTGGTGTTTCAGGCGTCCATAGGCTGCGGTAACTATTTACTAGATAGATATGGAGATGTTGGATACTGTATACTTGATTGCCACCTTAGTGGTATAAAAAAATAACACATATATTATAGATATTTTTTTACCACTGTCAGTATGTTTACTGTCATAAATCCGCCCCTCCGATCGATCCCCTGTCCAATTCAAACGGGGATCGAAATTACGACGGCCTGAGACGAGGTTCGAACCCCTAGTGGTGCTCTCAGACTAAAGTCGTATCCGTCAGGCAGGAGTTGGTCTTCAGCCGCACCATAAGTCCTTCCGCAGGTTTGGAGTGCCATCTGCACTCGCCCCCTAACGTCCGGTGAAGCTGTAAAGGCCAGCTGCGGCCAACAGCATTAGAGTAGTCCGAAAAAGAAACTGTCATAAAAAGAAACTTAAAGTTTTTGAACCTAATTCTTTTTTTATTGTTCCACTAATGAGAACCATTGTTAACAATAAGACCTTTTAATATCTGTTGTGCAGGTGAATCATATAGATATTTCACCAAATTTCGCCGGCACCATGATGAGCATCAGCAATTTCTCGTCAAACCTCGTCGCGTCCTTGGCTCCTATTGTTACCGGCTTCATTCTCAAGGATGACGTGGTAAGCTACTTTATTTTTTATTTCCCCATCAATATCTTTCCCTTTTCATTTCTTTTTACTTCTTTTACTACTATTTAAGGGAAACAATATGCATTATAGTCAACGGTTTAGATAAGCTCTGTGTTTTGATTTCAGAATTAATCTCGACTTAGTTACTTGACACTTTCGTTTAATTTATACTACACTTTTTTTTTTATATATTGAAAATGATACAATAATAATAATCTAGAACAATTTTCATAGCGGCATCTAGTCGCAAACTATGCTGAACTTGAACTACAGGTACTAAATAACTGATAGAAATAATATACATTGAAAACATCCAATACAAATGTGTGCATCGTGCGAGGAATCGACCTCATAACCATTGCAAGATAGATGAAGCGCTAAACCGCTACCCCACCGAGACTTTTAATAATAATATTACATTATTACATTATGACTTTCAGGAGAATCAATACTTGTGGAGACAAGTATTCTTCGTGGCCAGCGGTTTATACTTCTTCAGCAACCTTATCTATGTTCTACTTGGCACAGCAGAGTTAGCTGATTGGAACGACCCTGATCCAGTATCGGAAGAAATCGCAAGAGAAGAGCAAGAGGAAACTCCAATGCTTAAAATACAAAACGAACAAAAAGTCGATAGTTAGCAAAGGAAGTAGCATACTTAGATTCATTATTAAATAACCCTTTCTCTATACTTTCACCAGCGCTTTACTCGCCAGAAGCTAAAATACCATCGATCATCTGAATAAATGGCAGTTCTCCACAGTGCGTTTATCGAACAATATTTTGAACTCCATTGTGGAATCGCCTTAGAGCAATGGTATTTCCTAACCGTTACGATATTCAAACCTTCCAAGAAGGAACTTATGCTTTTATAAAAAGCTGACAAGATATTTGCATTTCACTTGAATTTGTAAATCACTTACAATGAGGTAAGCCGTAAACACCTTTGGATTCCCTCCCTGCGAAGTTGGGTTTAAATCTAACCATTACTACTGGAAACGTTACGACTTATTATAACAAATTCCGACCTTTACTGAGTCTACACCCATATATCGACACAAGCCCGTAAACAGAGCATCATCAGGCATTGAATAGAGTTCAGATATAGTTTGGAAACCGGCTGTTCGGCGACCAAACTGCGACTGAACTGTACTAACTCCCTTAGTACTAAATCCATTTAGTAACGAAATGGACTTCCGCAAAATAAAACCTTATTTGATAAAATATATTTATATCAGTCGTCTAGTCCCATAACACAAGCTCTACTTAGCTTGGGACTTCTCTAGGATTTATTATTATTATAAATATTTGGATGATCAGAAACAACGTGTTGGTGCTACTCAATTTAGTAACGGAAACTGACAATACACATTGTTATCTTAACTTTGGAGTTATGTACATTACAAATTGTGGTATATTAAGAGCTGTTTGTAATGATAATAAATAGTTTGACAAATACTTTGTTATTTTACTAAATATAGTTAAACGTTCTTTAGTTAAACAGACTTTCATAGTTATATTGGTTACGTTATCATTGTTAAGTACATGACATTCAATTATTATATCTCTTGTTTGTATTTCTAATCATACGATCTTACAAACAGTAGCAAGACCACCGACTTGTTATCTAGTAAGTATATTAAGTGCAAGTAATGCAAAATTATCTTATGTATTTGCAATAGTTTTATATATGTTCATTATTATTAGAACATTATAGTGGTTTTACTCACTATTGATTTAATGAAATGGCAGCTACGCCTTGCTCAAACTGCTGTTGGCCGCAGCTGGCCTATACACAGCTACGCTATGCTCAAACTATTGTAATGCTGTTGGCCCCAGCTGCGGCCAGCAGCCTTTACAACTTCATCAAACGACAGGGGTCGAGTGTAGATGGCACTCCTAACCGCGGAAGAACTTATGGATCGACTCAAGGCCAACTCCAGCCTGATAGATATGACTTTTGTCTGAGGTCACCGCTAGGGGCTAGACACTTAGCTCAGGACATCGCAATTTAGATCCTTGTTTGAATTAGATGGGGTTCGATCGTGCTATCCAATTAAACGAAAAATCATAAATTTTCGCATAGTGGTTGGTATTCATTTTAATTTTGACTTCTTATATATTTGATTACTTCTAAGGCTTATAGCGTGATATCTCAATACGAATTTCCTAAGAATTAGAAAAACAAGTGCAAAAAGATATTTTCATATCCCACAGATACTTCTAAAGAAGATCGCGTTCAAACAACCTCGACTAACTAAAATTATAAAAGCGGAAATTTTGAAGATGGATCTTTGATACTGTTTCGTGGAAAAGTAATGTAGATATTGGAATACAGTTTGATTCATAGATATTTTTTTGTATAATTGGAATGGTAAACAAGCTGACGATTCACCTGATGGTAAGTGGTAACCGACCCTTATGTATACATGAAGTGGACATGGACATCATGCGGTACCATTTCTTTGCGCCTGTGCTAACGGTTTACGCTGGCGGGGCACCAGTGGAGGATGATAAGATGAGCATGAGGTCAGGTGAGTTAGCCCATCGTGAATTTATCAGACGAAACCGCATGGAGGTCAACTTGACACGATCAGTCCACATTACTAACAACCCCCCCCCCCCCACCGCGGTACAAAGTAAAAAATATACTAAAATCACCTGATTTCACCCTTCACCCGAAACACATCTTGCAAAGTCAGTTACTTTGCAGTTAAAATAGATAACACACTCTTTGAGACGACTTTCTACAAAGTCACTTAAGTAAAAACTTATTATAATTAATATGTATATACAGGTAGTATTTAGATAACTTAGATATCCTGAAATTATGCCGTTCTCTACGTAAAACCAGTGTCGTGGCACCCCGTCACGACATATGTTGAGCGGAGACCTAGTTGGTACTTTACTTATTAATATAAAATTTAGTGTTTGGTACACTGAAAATAATTTTTAAAATTTCATAAACAATTTTCTTTCTTTCTTTCTTTAATTCCAAAGGGCTTTTAAAGTACAACGTACAGCGAACTCGATAGGAAAATCTACTCGCAGTCCGAAAAATTCGAAAGGGGGTCCCCGGTGTTTTGGGTCAATGTTTTAATGAAATTCCCGTGTCCGAGGAAATTAATCGTTTTCCATATTTCAGTGACCCCACGCTTCATTCTTAGCATAACGTTTGTATTATTATTAATTAAAAACTGTTCGAGACAAATTGTTTTCAGGTCTGTTTTAATTAAAATCATTCGATTATCTTCATGCAAATATTTATTGTTTTCCAAACATTCTAAACGACTTAAAAGAAGATAAAGGTAAAGGCATAAGATTTGCGAATTTTATTATACTATTTCAATTCAAATTTAAATTCAAAATATCTTTATTCATGTAGGTCTATTACAGACTCTTATGATATGTCAAATCTAATCTCAGTTTGGAATGATTTTGAGATGAGAACAACTGACAAGAAACTCAACTCGTATTCTTTTGAAACAAAAATGTACATGTTAACAATAATATACAGTCATTTAGTCTGTAGCGCATCAGAGATGTTTGCAGCAGCGCGGGTAGATGGATTTGAAGCCATAATGCGTAAAAGAGCTGCATCACTGATGTCTAGAATTCGGGGGAGCTCAAACAGCATCCTAAAAACTGTTGCGAATATACCTGATTGTCCGCTCCAGAGGCACTGGATAACGTTGCATTGTGGACCCAGTGCTTCTGGACGTGGACACAGATATATGAATTAAATATATCTACGTATATGTATATTATAAGTTACTAACATAGTTTTATAAGTTTTTACTAACACAATATGGATGTAATCCGAATTAAAATTAAATAAATAAATAAATTTAAATTCAAATTTGGTATTTAATAGAAATAATCTTTATTCAAATATACTTAATATAAGATACTTTTGAATACTCACATTTTTTTATTCTACCACTAATTCAGAAAGCAGACTCATCATAAGAAGTATGAGTATAAATGTTGATCTACGTAAATATACATTAAAAAGGACTAATCCTAATTTCTAGAAATAAGTCATATAAATCTATACATATAAATGAAATTGGAGTGTCTGTTTGTAATATTGAAACAACCGTTTTTTACTACATGCATATGAATATAAATAAGGTACATACACAAAAATTTAATTATTACAATTTTTGTCTGTCTGTCTGTTTGTTCCGGCTAATCTCCGAAATGGTTGGACCGATTTTGACGGGACTTTTTTTGCAGGTACCTGATGTAATAAGGAGTAATTTAGGCTACTTTTATTTTAGAAAAATATAGTAAAATTCCACGCGAGTACAGCTAGTTAGACATAGAAATCGCTACGCACTCAATCTTTGTTCAATTAGGTAACATTGTCAGCACTATGAATTTTAAATTAGTTTTTTCTACAAAACCTTATTGATTTTGGACTTACGGATTCATTTTCGACTAGGTATATCTCTAGGCTCTGAAGATAGAAGAACTTTAAATTAACTCCTTTACGAGTTTATCTATAACTACCTACTCGCCCCGGCTTCGCCCATGTGTACATCATCATCATCATTGCAGCCCGGAAGACATCCACTGCTGGACAAAGGCCTCCCCCAAAGATCTCTACGATGATCGGTCCTGCGCTGCTCGCATCCAATGCTTTCCAGCGATCTTGACCAGATCGTCGGTCCACCTTGCTGGAGGCCTTCCCACGCTGCGTCTTCCGGTCCGTGGTCGCCACTCGAGCACTTTACTGCCACAACGGCCATCTGTCCTGCGAGCTATGTGTCCTGCTCATTGCCACTTCAGAGTCGCAATTCTTCGGGCTATGTCGGTCACTCTGGTTCTTCTGCGGATCTCCTCATTTCTGATTCGATCACGCAGAGTAACTCCAAGCATAGCCCTCTCCATTGCCCTCTGAGTGACTCTGAGCTTGTTGATGGGGCCCATAGTTAGCGACCACGTCTCCATGTGTACATGTATTATACATATAAACCTTCCTCTTAAATCGCTCTATCTATTAAAAAAACTGCTTCAAAATCCTTCAGTTTTAAAGATTTAAGCATACATAGGGACGTAGAGACAGCGACAGCGACTTTGATTTATACTATGTAATAATGATAAATGTGGTAAGTGCGAATTTTCTCTTCATAATAATGTTATAGAGTACTAAAACGTCGGTCAAGATCGCTGGAAGGCATTGGATGCGAGCAGCGCAGGACCGATCGTTGTGGAGATCTTTGGGGGAGGCCTATGTCCAGCAGTGGACGTCTTCCGGGCTGCGATGATGATGATGATGATCAGAGTACTAAAACAAGGATGAATAAAATATTGTAAATTTAATTAACAAAAAGTTTATTGGCTCCAAACATAACCTTCAAAGTTTATTCCTAATCCTCTACTATAAACATTTCCTCTAATCTCATGACCACATACACATCTATGAATCTACCCATATAACTGGGCATTTCATTTGTTTTCATTCAATTTCTTGACATAACTGGGCTCGTTCCACGGCTGTGTTTTAGCACTCATTAATGCCACAAATATGCCATTAGTTACGAAAGCAACAATACCCACGGTGATGAACATGATCCGCCATTGCAGTTGGTTTGTCTGGAAAAGTAAAATTCAATATGATTTATAATCAATTGCTGAGTGTGAATAGAGTGTGCACTGATAATAACAGAGATCTTAGTGGTTTAGCGGTTTAGCATACCGCTTTACTTTCGACGGTCGCGGGTTCGATTCCTCGCACGGTGAAAACATTTGAATTCATGAGTATGATGATTGATTTTATCGGCTTAGGTGATTTCTTTATGTATCTATTTAAAAATGTATCTAAGTTTTTATATCAGTTGTCTAGTACTCATGAAACAAACGTTGGTTACTGTGGTACTAGATGGCGCTGTGTTAATAATTCAGAGTTTAAATTAAAAAAAAATACTTCAATTTAAAACACACAGCTTGCAAAGTAAACTGCTTGGCGGTAGAAATATATGTTCAAATTAAAAAACAATTTATCAATTTTTTTATATTCAGAAGAAAAAAATAATATTATAAAAAAATTCCCTACCACCCAGTTCAATATATAGATCTAATTGAGAAGACCTGGCAAGAAACTCAATTTAACTACTTTTTATAAAAGCCAATTTACTTACAATGTATATTTATATAGGTGTCTATGTCTAACATTAAATGAAAATCCCGAACATGAACAACTATTGCCATGTACGCTCGTCATTCAAGTAATCGTCTAGTGAGTAAGGCTATGATACAATATATATATATATATTAAACGTTCTTAATATATATTAATTATTATTAAGCAACATACATTTAATACTTACCATATCAGTAATAATGTACGACACAAACACTGGTGTAATTAACACAAAAATGTTCATTAGCGTGCTTCCAATTGCTATGAGTGTGCCGCTAAAGTTTGGCGTCAAGTCTATATGATTAATCTGAAATATGTTAAAAAAACATTAGAAAAACAGATCGTCAAAGTATATAATAAGATGTATACATGTTTCCAGCGAATATCCTCATCATCATCACCATCATCATAATCATTATCATCATCACCATCACATCATCATAATCATTATCATCATCATCGTAATCATTATCTGCTTCAACCTTATCCCATTTATTTGGGGTCGGCAAAATATGTTTTATTACCAATATTATCAACAAAAAATAATAAAGATATCAGGACAATTCAATTTAGTCCCAATCTAAGCAGTGTCTAAATTGTTATTATTATATTTTATTGTATAAATTAACTTGTAATAATCTTATATACAAAGAAATAGTTTTGCCTTAAATATTGAGGTTTAAGTAAATAGTTTTATTATTTTTATAAATAGAAAAATTTAATACTTAATACTAAGAAAAATGGGCGAAGCATCATTTGAACAGCCTGTATATTTGTTAATTCTATTTTCTTTCAATATTCTAGTTCTCAATATATCTTGATGATTCTTTTTGTAACAAAAGTCCAACCTATAAAAATTATTAGAGAAGCTCTCCTATACCGTATTATATTATTATTTCATTTGTATGTTCGTCTTTAAAGTATTTATAATATAGGCTGTTAGAAACAGAAAGAAATGTATTGAATTCGTTAACGACAATAATGTTTTATAGAAAAACTTAAAATCCATAGCACTGACAATACTATCTGATTACACTAATAATGAGTGCGTAGCGATTTCTATGTTGATTATCGCATGCCTCTTACTTGTTATACTGTAATAATTTATATAAAAAAAAACATCTATTCGAAAGAGCAACACACAAGTTTCTCGCTCATTCTTCTTGTGATGAACCTGCATTCCGAATGAGTGGTAGAATCAAAATATGACTATTCAAAAGTGCTCGTAATGAGTTTATTTGAATAAAGATTATTTCTATTTCTATTTCTAGTATGTATAAAAAATATATACCATCCATCCCAGATGAACTCCTGTCTGCAAACCAGTTCCCAGCATTAAGAGTATTATAGCCAGAGTGAGGTTCTTTGTGAACGAAACGGTTATCAAACAAACAGCTACGCCAATTTGTGCTATAACATAAAAATGTTTATATACTACCTACCCTCTCCGGTTTAGTACAGATGTATATATGTATATATAATACATAAAAACAATCCTCTTAAATCGCTCTATCTATTGCTTAAAATTGCGTAGTAAAAGATATGACGACCTCGGTGGTCTAGCTGTCTAGCACACGGCTTTACGTCCGATGGTCGCGGGTTCGATTCCTCGCACGGCACAAACATTTGTATTCATGAGTATGATTGTTTGTATCGGTCTGGGTGTTTTCTATGTAGATTATGTATGTATTTACGAAAAAAAAAAAATTATCTATGTATGTACTTGTACTGGCGGGGCACCAGTGGAGGATGATAAGATGAACATGAAGTCAGATGAGTTAGCACATCGGGGCAAATTTTTGTTGTCTGTGTTTACATCATCGGAGACTTAGTACAAGATTTTTAGTGACGATTAGAGGAACTCACGATCTTTTTCGGTCTCTAAGTCAACGTAGGTCGTAAGCCACTAAGTCATAACACTCAGATATTATATAAAAAAATATTATACTTACACACAGAATTGAACATTTGTCTAGAAGATTTTAGACTCAATATATTTTTATTAATGCAGAAATCACATAGCACTCCGAATGTGACAGAGCAGAAGCAAGCTGCGACGTACGGCAGCGACGACAATAGACCGCTCTAAAAAATAAAATTTATGTAGATCTATATAAAACATAATATACAAAACTAAAACAAAATAATGTATTTTTAATTGACTTAGACCGCTCTAGAAAATAAAAATTATGTAGATCTATAAAACATAATATACAAAACTAAAAAAAAAAATTTTAGTTACCAATGCCACGGTAACTAAAATTTTATTTTTTTTTAGTTTAGACTTATACGACGAGCGTGCATGGCAATAGTTGTTCTTGCACGGGATTTTCATTTAATGTTAGACATAGATATATAAATATACATTGTAAATCAAAAAGTAATTCAATTGAGTTTCTTGACAGTTTCGGGACCCTCAGTCCTGAGGAATCGACAAAGAAGAAAGAAGAAAGTTATAATAATATTAGCTGAGTCCGCGGTTTCATCCGAGTAACAATTATAGACCATGTGATATTTTGATGTATAATCTATATTATTTTAAAGTTTCATTAAAATCTGTTTAGTATTTGCGTAAATATCTAACAAACAAACGATGAAGGTGTACAGGCCAGCTGCGGTCAACAGCGTATAGTCTGAAAAAAAAACTTACGCTTTTAACATTAACTTCCAGGATGGAGTGTATGTATGAAGGTACTTGATTGAAGATGAAGAAGAACACCACCCCACTACCGATCTGAGTAGAGTGACATGCCCAAACATGTCTCGATGTTAGTACTGCTTTCCAAGGTACTTTAGGCTTCTGTAGAAGGTAAAATCAGAAATATAATAAAATAATCTCAGGACAATTCACACAGCGCCGTCTACACAAGTTAAAGCGAAAGCTTGTGTTATGTGCACTAGATAACAAATACATAGATTTTTCTCGTAAATACATACGTTACATTGAAAACACCCAAACAGTTACAACGAATCATACGCATGAATACAAATGTTTGTGGCATGCGAGGAATCGAACCCTCGACCACCATCGTTCGTCATGATATGTTTTAGGTTGCATTCATTCTACATTTGCGGTCCGATCTCTGTCTGTTAAAATATTATTAAAGTAGCTGTATAAATCCAAAATGTCATTAAATTTTTTGCCGACACAAAAATATGTGTTTATTTATTCTGACCGACCCTTCATGTGAAGAAAGAATCGAGAAAAAACCAAAATTAATCAAACAGACTAGATAATATATAATAAACTAGAATAATAATAATAATAATCTCAGGACAATTCACACAGCGCCATTTAGACCCAAGTTAAGCTAGCTAAAGCTTGTGTTAAGGGTACTAGACAACTGATACAAATACATAGATAATTTTTTTTTCATAAATACATACATATTTTACATAGAAAATACCCAGACCGATACAAACAATCATACATGAATAGAAATGTTTGTGCCGTGCGAGGAATCGAACCCGCGACCATCGGACGTAAAGCGGTGTGCTAGACCGCTAGACCACCGATGCCGTCAAATATAATAAATAAATAAAATAAAGAGATAAATATGTATACATATATATATATATATATATATATATATGTATATATATAAACACTCTTTGCAAGTTATAATAATTGTAACCGCATGGTGTATGTCATATTGGTCGCTCAAATAAGTAAATAAACAGACAGCACCTGTTATGCTACGTTTAGATTCAGCCGCATCCCCTTCCACTCGCGCTGCCGGAAATATTGCCGGGCGACAACTGAGCGAGAGGGCTGAATGTAAAAACACGCTGCCACTCGCGCTGCCAGTCCTTTGACTCGCGCACGAAAAACAATCAAGGGAGCGCCGGGCAGCGCGAGTGGCAGCGACAATGGCATGGGAAGTGTTTCCACTCGTGTTTACACTCTCGCGCTGCTCACTTCCCTGCCCACTCGGGCTGAGTGTAAATTGAGCATTGGATTCTAATATATTCAGCGACATGTGGCCAAATATTAGTATCGTGCGAGGAATCGAATCCGCGATCAATGAAAATAAGGCGATGTGCTACCCCGCTATACTACCAAGACCGTCGATAACTATATACGTATCTTGCGTATCTGACTGATCTGTTCAGGTTACGAACACTGATTAGACTATTTACTTTTGCAATAGCATATGCTGGTGGTCACTCTATTCTCCCAAATTTGAATTTAAATGAATCTGTATTATTGTAAACATGTACAACATTGTTTCTATTAAAATTATAAGTAGATTTATTCTTATTACTTGTACTATATTTATTTATTTAAATATTGCTTTGCGACATATATTTTTTTTTATTCTACCTATATCCACCACGCCACAATTCCTTTCAGTCACTCAAAGGTTGATTGGAAGAAATCCCTTATTCTCCAAGTCCGCCATTGTACCATTTCGTGAATACTTATAATGGAATGGAAATAAATAAATTTTATTATTTATTTTTTAAGACATATGTTTCCTTCTGTTAATAATCTGTACAGTAAATAATTACAAATAAACAAACAAACATTTATTTGAAAAGAATACGAGCTGAGTTTCATGTCAGTTCTTCTCATCTCGAAATCATTCCGAAATGACGGTATATTTGACATATTTATTTATTTAACTTTAATGCACACAATACAATATATAGTACAGTATATATAGCGGACTTAACACATTGAGGCATTTTCTACCAGGCAACCATAGGTGGGGCAGAGAATAATTGTTGGTGGTGCATATTAGAGATGTGCTAACACGTAATAAACATAGCTCGAGTTAACTCGAGTTGAAATTCAGGTAACTCGAGTTAACTCGAGTTGACCCGTTGGAATAAACAGTTTTTTTTTTTAAGTTATCGAACAAATCTAATATTTTTGGCCGCAGCTTGAAAACTTCACCGAACCATAGGGCATAGGGGGGAAATGGGATTGTTAGTAATGTGGACTAATGAACCCATTACTAGCAATGTATCATGTCAGGTTGACCTCCACGCGGTTCCCCCTGGAAACCATCGTGTTAAATTCCTGGTGAATTTGTCACGATGGGCTAACTGACCTGACCTCATGCTCATATTATCACCCTCCACTGGTGCCCCGCCAGCGTAAACCGTTAGCGCAGGCGGATGCACCATTCCATTATCACATACAAAAAAAAAACTATAGGGCATATAGGCTAGTAGAAATGGCACTACAAAGCCGCGAACGGACTTATAGAACGCATAATAATTTTAATGATAACATAACCGGATGAATATGCGAAAAAAAATGATAAAAACCTCAAATTAATATTAAAACATTTGTGACGAGTGAAAATTGTGTGATATGAAATGATCGGAAAATTTCATGTCATTGTCAGTTCGACAACAGACTCATGCTCTCTCTCTTTCACTTGATTCGTTCATTTATCAGTTGAATTCGTCCAACTCGAGTTGGCAGAATTCAACTCGAGTTAACTCGAGTTGAAACATCTCTAGAGCAAATATGATAGGAAGAGATATCATAAGATTCTCTAATAGACTTACATGAATAAAGATATTTTGATTTTGAATCAAATACAATTCAATAGATATATTACCTCTTCTACAGCTGCAGTATTGTAAGAATTAGAAATGAAGTTCTTTTCTGCTACAGTTATACTTTTATGTTCAGCCGGTGTTGCAGCACCAAATATTGTGAGCAAGGCGAATGTGACTAAACATATGCCACCCGACGCCCAGAATATAGATGGCCAGCCACCTGCACTTTCAGCCAGGATACCACCAACTTGGAAAGCTACCACGGTACCCACTGTTGAGCCTGTTAAAACATTATAAAACTAAGTTCAATAAGATGCAATAACTATCAAAGAAAGAAATAATTGACAACGATAAAACAGTTCTCAGTAGATATATTATTAAAACATTACTAAGTATGATTAAGCTTCGAGAAGTAGATATATAGATAGATAGAATGATATGATAAAGAATAAGTACAAAAAATGTACTTATTCTTATATTCTTTAGGCTTACTTACTTAGGCTACTTTTATTTTAGAAAATATCTTTTATTTAAAAAAATAAAAGTTAAATTGCACGCGGACGAAGTCGCGGGAACAGCTACTTGTATATAATAATAAATCCAAAAAGTAATTAAATAGTATCCGGCAATGTAATACGTAATTAACTAAAATATTTACCAGTGTAAACGTAACTTGCAAGCCTGCCTCTTTCAGATTTTGGCACCCACTGCGCCAGTATTGTTTGAACGGCAGGATAAAACCCAGCTTGTGACAAACCCTGGACTATTCGACACGCACAAACAGCTTTCCATCCACCCTGTCATAGGAGAGCATTTCATTTTAATCATATTTAATATTCACCAGATTCAAAACCAAGCTTGTGACAAACTCTGGAATATTCGATTTTCATTTTCAAACCCTGGACTATTCGATATGCACAAACAGCTTTCCATCCACCCAGTCATAGGAGAGCATTTCATTTTAATCTTATTTAATATTCACCAGTTTTAAAACCCAGTCTGTGACAAACCCTGAACTATTCGACACGCACAAACAGCCATAGGAAAGCATTTTTAATATTCACCAGTTGTAAAACCCAGCCTGTGACAAACCTTGGACTATTCGACATGCACAAACAACTTTTCATCCACCCTGCCATAGGAGAGCATTTCATTTTAATCTTATTTAATATTCACCAGTTGTAAAACCCAGCTTGTGACAAACCCTGGACTATTCGACACGCACAAACAGCTTTCCATCCACCCTGTCATAGGAGAGCATTTCATTTTAATCTTATTTAATATTCACCAGTTTTAAAACCCAGCTTGTGACAAACCCTGGAATATTCGATTTTCATTTTCAAACCCTGGACTATTCGATATGCACAAACAGCCATAGGAGAGCATTTTTAATATTCACCAGTTGTAAAACCCAGCCTGTGACAAACCTTGGACTATTCGACATGCACAAACAACTTTTCATCCACCCTGTCATAGGAGAGCATTTCATTTTAATCATATTTAATATTCACCAGTTTTAAAACCCAGCTTGTGACAAACCCTGGATTATTGGATAGGCATAAACAGTTTTTCATTCACCCTATCATAGAAGCATTTCATTTTAATCATTTCTAATATGTACAAGTTAACTGCGACAGTGATATCTCACAGGACAGTCCTTATCTCATCTCAAACAATCCTAATAGTTAATTCTAACAACAATAAAAGTTAATTTCCACACGGACGAAGTCGCGGGAACAGCTACTGGCTGTTCCTAGAATAGAAAATAATTTATTCAAATAAACTTAATTTAAGCACTTTTCCTTGTAAGTTCACATTTTACAGGTCCAAACGTGTGAATACAAACTACCAACCAGCAAATTAAAAATCAATAAGATTAAATCAGTCGTAGTGATAAGAGTAGTGATCCCTACAAGCAGCATTCACGAGTATGACGGATGAGCCAGCCATCACTGCGCTCGACCATATTTTAAGAGCCCAATGACCCGGCCCGAAGATTAAAAACTTACCCATAGAACTAGCCATGGCGTTACGATGGCCGCAATTCCGTTTATGAACAGTCCTATTTGCAGGGGGATTTTCCCGCCCCATCGCTGTGTAACCAATCCCATAGGAAATTGCATGATGTTATACCCGAGGAAAAAGGACGACAGTATCATTTCTTGTGTGGATTTTGGCCATGCGTATGTCTGGAAAGTTAGGAAAATTATAAATTTACTGACTCACTGTTCTATATGTTTTTACAAAAAATATATCTAAGTTATAGCAGAAATCCAGATAGAATGTTCTAGAAACTGTAAAATCGAAACATCCACCAAGGAGTTCTGGAAAACTCTAAACTTTGCACGTTTTATAAATGAATCACATCACTACACGTATTGTAGGTTTTAAAAATTATTGCCAATTTTCCACATTATCACTACGTGAAATTTATCCTAATGGACAGACAGACAGAGTTACTTTCTCATTTATAATATTAGTAAGGAAGTAAGGATAATGGTGTCCTCATGCAGCCAGTAACTTCTGTTGCAAATATAAAAATACTTCAATTCATTTAATTTATATATAGTCTAGCTGTACCCGCGACGTCGTCCGCGTGGAATTTAACTTTATTTCTCTGATAAAAGTAGCCTAAGTTACTCCTTATTGCATCAGCAACCTGCCAAAAAAAGTCCCGTCAAAGTCGGTCCAGCCATTTCAGAGATTAACCGGAACAGACAGACAGACTGACAAATTGTAAAAAAATATATTTTCGTCTATGTAGCGTATTTACATTCATATGCATGTAGTAAAAAACGGTTATTTCAATATTACAAACAAACACTTTAATTTTATTTATATATATAGATTAGTAGTATTTTCAGTCGGAGTTAGCAGCTGTAAAAATCTACTTATATTTTCGCGGCGGATCTAGTGATTATTTAAAATTATTAGACCTATTGATTTTAGAAGAAAAACTCTAATCCATCACATTTAAAATAAGTAATCATGTTGTTAAGTAACAGTTTATATGTAACGTGCAACTGATCGGATCGAGAACAAATTATATTTATTACTGTATATCTATATATATATCTATATATATGTATATCTCAAGTGGGCGGTAGAGGTCCAACTATAATTAGTGTTCAATATTTTAACAGATTTAATTTTGGATATGTTTTCGCTACTATTGCTCTATTGTTTACTCTTCTGTATATTGTTTTATATTATGTATGTTATTTAAATGTAGAGATGTAGAGGGTCTCAAATGTAATGGATTAAGGGACCGTATTAGGCACATTGATTTTAGAAGAAAAACTCTAATCCTTCACATTTAAAATAAGCAATCATGTTGTTAAGTAACAGTTGATATGTAACGTGCAACTGATCAGATCGAGAACAAATTATATTTATTACTGTATATCTATATATATATCTATATATATGTATATCTCAAGTGGGCGGTAGAGGTCCAACTATAATTAGTGTTCAATATTTTAACAGATTTAATTTTGGATATGTTTTCGCTACTATTGCTCCATTGTTTACTCTTCTGTATATAGTTTTATATTATGTATGTTATTTAAATGTAGAGATGTAGAGTGTCTTAAATGTAATGGATTAAAGGATCGTATTAGACACATTGATTTTAGAAGAAAAACTCTAATCCATAACACAAGTTCTGCGTACCGTGCGACTAGGTGGCGCTGTGTTAATTGTCCAGGGTTATTTACTACTATTTATTTCTATTATAATATAGTGCAGTGCAGAGTAAATCATCCTCTAAGAAGCTTGTATTGTAAGTTTTGTTTCCACATTTAAAATAAGCAATCATGTTGTTAAGTAACAGTTGATATGTAACGTGCAACTGATCGGATTGAGAACAAATTATATTTACTGCTATATATAATGCACTGAATATCTACATCATATTCATCAATAATATATAAAGCTACATCTATACATATAAATAAACATGAAACGTTTGTTTGTATTTTCATTTTTTTTTCTTTTTCACTAAATACATATGATGTACTGACTGTGCTCGCGTTTTCACTCGCGTGAAATGTATAGTCTATGTGTTATTGCGATGTATAAGCTATTTTATTATAAGTTTTATTAAAATCCATTCAGTAGTTATTGCGTGAAAGACTAACAAATATCCATATTTACAAACTTTTGCGTTTAAAATATTAGTAATTTATACATTGCTTATATAATAATAAATAAGTAATCTCAGGACAACTCACACAGCGCCATCTAGACCCAAAATAAGCTACCTAAAGCTTGTTTTATGGATAGTGGACAACTGATATAAATATATAGATATATTTATTTTTTCGTAAATACATATATATAGAAAATACGCAGACCGATACAAACAATCATATTCATTAATACAAATGTTTGTACCGTACGAGGAATCGAAGCCGCGACCATCTAGACCACCGAGACTGTCAAAATAAAGAAGATATTTTGATTTATACTTACTCTATAAATTCCTAACGAATCTTCAATAGGAGTATCATCAAATGCATCATTATCAACAACATGATGTAACGTTGTTTCATTATCACCAATATCGAATTCATGTTCATGTCCTGGAAGCCCAATTGTTGTAGATTCAATATTTTCCGCTACCTCTGTCCTGTTATCTAAATGTTTGTTTACATTTGTCATAGCGACTATTGATACACTTAGGTACGCTCTAGCCGTGTAACCTACAGTTAGACAAATGAAAATCAGAAAAGCCTGCACGTGTCGCACTCCATACCCATATGGTTGTATTATGTCATTGGTAGGATCTCCTGAAAAAATAAAAAAATATTTAGACTAGTTACTCGCCTCGCTATATATATAAACCTTCCTCTAGAATCACTCTATCTATTAAAAAAAACCGCTTCAAAATCCATTGCGTAGTTTTAAAGATTTATACATAGGGACAGACAGCGACAGCGACTTTGTTTTATACTATGTAATGATGATTGGACTGGCTACTCGCCTTCTATAACCCTTTCTCTAGAATCACTCTATCTATTAAAAAAATCGCTTCAAAATCCATTGCGTAGTTTTAAAGATTTATACATAGGGACAGACAGCGACAGCGACTTTGTTTTATACTATGTAATGATGATTGGACTGGCTACTCGCCTTCTATAACCCTTTCTCTAGAATCACTCTATCTATTAAAAAAAACCGCTTCAAAATCCATTGCGTAGTTTTAAAGATTTATACATAGGGACAGACAGCGACAGCGACTTTGTTTTATACTATGTAATGATGATTCGACTGGCTACTCGCCTTCTATAACCCTTTCTCTAGAATCACTCTATCTATTAAAAAAAACCGCTTTAAAATCCATTGCGTAGTTTTAAAGATTTATACATAGGGACAGACAGCGACAGCGACTTTGTTTTTATATTATGTAATGATAATGTTGATTAAAAAGAAGCGAGGTTATATAATATATAATTTTGGAAGTACATCTGTATGTTTATATATGTATCGTCGGTTAAATAGATAAATGGCAGTTATTCAAAATGTATATGTTTGTCTTGTACACACGCTTTTAAAATTTTTATTTTTATTTATATATCATTTTTAAAGTATTTAGATAATGATTAAGACGGCGTGGTTAATTTAATTGACTTATATAAAACGAGCCAAATCTAGCTTCTAATTTAGAAAAATGACATTGTTTTATTTCATCGACGATGTATTATTTTTCTGTATTATATAATAATAATAATCATATTTATTTGTCTCAAACAAAAACTAATACAATTGCTACTCATACAATAATATAATTTAAAACTAATGAAGGAGACAAAACGGTCTACTACTCAGTGAGGGCAGAGAGTCCACCCTCTCTGCTATTCTGTTATAACCTTTATCAGTAAAATACAATATGAGATCGACGACGTCGAGAGCACATTAAGTTAACTTCTAAACTACTACTAACAAAGTAAACATAATAATTGACAATAATTTAACAAGATTACAAACTAAATCTTGTTAAATTATTGGAATTTTTTATGTTTTTATATTGTTATTGCACCGCCATACTATTTTTGATCAATGCGGTGGTTGACTGGTAGAGAATGCCATCAGGTATTAAGTAGAAATAGAAATAGAAATAGAAATAATTTTTATTCAAATAAACTTAATATAAGCACTTTTGAATAGTCAAATTTTTTTTATTCTACCACCGTATATACAATTTTGTGTGCAAAAGAATAAATAAATAAATAATGTTTCGCAGTATTCTTAAGAAGCAGATCTCCAGCTGGGGTGGACACTCCATTCTCAGTTCCCACACCCAAAATATCTGCTCATAGATCCGGGACTGATTGCAGATATTATAACATTTATTTGAAAAGAATACGAGCTGAGTTTCTTGTCAGTCCTTCTCATCTCGAAATCATTCGAACTGACGGTAGATTTGATATATCATAAGAGCCTCTAATAGATCTACAAGAATAAAGATATTATGATTTGATTTGATTTCTGTATTCATTCAATTTACAGGTGAGACGTAAATCACTTAAAGTTTGAGTGGAACATAATATAAGCAGTTAGAAATTTGTAATGGAATAAAATATTTGTAAATGGAGTTCGAAATTATTAATTTAGAGTAGATTTAGAGTCTGTAATAGACCTACATGAATAAAGATATTTTTAATTTTTAATAGAAAAGGAAAATAGACAAATAATTCTCACTCCTTAATTTATAGTAATATAACATACATTATCAATAATAATTATTTAATATAATAACTAATATATTATTAAAAGGGGTCCCTTTAGGCAACGTTCCGAAGATACTGGCAGGGTTCCTTCTTTGAATAGCTAGACTAATTCTTTGTCCAAGGTAGCTGCCAGCTCTTCGGTCTTCTGTGATGTCGACTAACATTTTTTCACACTAATAAAAAAATACTATAAACTTTTATAATGAGTACGCTCGACATTATTATTAACCAAATATAATTACCAATTTCCTTCTCTTCGCTACTGGGCACTTCTTCATACTCTGCTTTTGACATTTCGTTGATATCCCACTAAACACCAACATATAATAACCACTACGCCCAGATTTTTTCGTCATATTATTTAAACATAATTATATATTTAAATATGTACATAAATCACGACATCTAAATCTACTATAAGGTTCTGCGCACACTGAGCGAAAGTTATATTTATTTATTTATTATTATTTTGACAGCCTCGGCGATCTATTGTTTTAGCACACCGCTTTACTATCCGATGGCCGTGGGTTCGATTCCTCGCACGGTAAAACGAATAGGGGATGAAAGTTTGTACGAAACTTTGTCAATATTAAACCGATCGCGCTGAGACTTTTGCATGCATAAAGCTACTATGACGTAAGCATCCACTAAGAAAGGATTTTGATAAATTCCACACCTAAGGGGTTAAATTAACGCAAGCGAAGCCGCAGGCAAAAGCTAGTTTACCATAAATATGAATGAGTCTGCTGTGACCCACACAGTTTGGATGCTATGATGTATAAATTATAAGTCCGAGCTGCTTTCCAACTTGATATATTGAGTACACGATGACTGAGTGTGGACTGATGCTTGCTTGTGCTTGCTTGCGTATTTGGTGTACTGAAGGGAAAATGGTATGTGTGGGCGTTGTATGGACGCGGAGTGATGTAAAATGCTGATGGCTGTACGCACCATACAATTATTAATGTTTATTATTTTTTTTTTTTTAACAAAGATAATTGTACAGTTGTTTTTATACATTGACTCTCCAAACTGTAGAACAGTTTGTTGGCAAGATATCGCTCAGTTTTTTTCAAATACTATTCATCCCATAAACTTCTATCCACATAAATACACGTTTTTACAGATAATTACATACAATTACAATTTTTGTTTTTAAAGTTTATCTAAAAATGCTCTTTTTAATTTTGATTTCAGTACTGGTCTACTTAAATTAGAATTTCGTTGTAACCCATCTAAATTATTATAAATTTTTGGTACCAAAAACCCGGTTGTTCTTTCCCCGTAATAATTGATAGCTCTCGGTTGAACAAATTTACTCTTCGTGTTATTTCTGGTATTATATATATTATTTATTACAATTTTGTATTCATTATTGCTAATGCACACAAAATTGTAATAAATAATAAATGCAAATTTATATTTTAAATTATTTTCTACAAGGTTCCACTGAAAAACAGCATTTGGGCATTACAGCCCAGACACAAAGCTGAGTGGAAACCAATTTGGTCACAGCTGTATTTTTAAAATAATTTGTTATAATTTTTGTAAAATATTGTATGATTGTTTTGTATGCGCCAAATAAATATATTTTTCTTTTCTTCTTTTCTATACTGCTCCAGAGCTATCATATATTTAACCTTACTATGCACGGGTAGTATTTTACAATATTTCATTCTATCATGCGCCATCCACCATGTTCTGTCTTCTCTCCTGTACCCAAAGGTTGTCTGGAAGAGATAAAACCGCCTTTTGTGCCCATATACACTGAATATTGTTAATTTTATTTTTTTATTAGGTGTGATAAAAATTAATAGTAATAATATCTCAGGACAATTCACACAGCGCCATCTAGTCCCAAGCTAAGCAGAGCTTGTGTTATGGGTACTAGACAACTGATATAAATACATGGATACATTTTTGTAAATAAATATATATTATACATAGAAAACACCCAGACTGATACAAACAATCATACTCATGAATACAAATGAACTAATACATGAATGAAAATCGAACCCGTGAACATCAGAAGTAAGGTGATATGCTAAACCACTAGACCACCGAGATGATTAATAGTATACTTAATAGATATTACATTTTCCGAATGAGCGGTAGATTAAAAAAAAAACATCGTTATGACTATTCGAAAGTGCTCTTAAATTAAGTTTATTTGTATAAATGATTTTCTGTTCTATTCTATTCTATTTGAACATAGCCTTATAATATTGAACAATGTTTAATATCACACACGTTTGCTTTGTGATAAGGAAATTCAAACAGTAGTTAATATACTATACGTAATTGATAAACAATGAACAAATACACTATCCAAACACAGTAAATATAAGCTGCAGTTACCATTTGACGATGGAGTAACTCACTAAACTATATTAAAATTAAATAGAAATATTGCTGATAACATCACTGATTCAAACACTTTTCGGACTACTCTAATGCTGTTGGCCGCAGCTGGGCTTTACAGCTTCACCGGACGGTAGGGGGCGAGTGCAGTTGACTCTCCAAATCCGCGGAAGGACTTATGGAGCGACCAAGCCCAACTCTCGCCTGACGGATACGACTTTAGTCTGTGGGCACCCCTAGGGGTTCATCGTCATTGATACCCGTTTCAATTGAAGGGGGATCGATCGGAGGGGGATTCGAACACTGTTTTAATGACTTGATTATTTTGAGTAACTTAAAAATTCTTTTACTTAGATTAAATTTAGATGAGATGAGAGATTTTCTGTTCTTGTATGTGGAACCCTGCCATAACCAAGCTTCAGGAATAAACTGATTGCAAGGAAGTCAAGTGTAAGAGCATCGACGACCTCGGTGGTCTAGCGTTCTAGTACACCGCTTGACGTCCGATGGTCGTGGGTTCGATTCCTCGTACAGCACGAACATTTGTATTCATAAGTATGATTGTTTGTATCGGTCTGGGTGTTTTCTATGTATAATATGTATGTATTTACGAAAAAAAAATCTATGTACTTGTATCAGTTATCTAGTACAAGTTATCAAGCTTTAGATACCTCGGCAACGCGCACGTGTTAACCCTGGTGTTTCAGGCGTCCATAGGCTACTGATGTATGGGTACTAGATATATCTATGTATGTGTATGGAAAAAAATCTATGTATGGGCAATACATAGATTTTTCGTAAATACATACACAGTATACATAGAAAACACTCAGATCGATACAAAGACTCACACTCATGAATACAAATGTATGAACCGTGCGAGGAATCGAACCCACGATTATTGGAAATAAGGCTGTGTTCGAAACCGCTGGACCACCGAGGTCGTCGTATGTAAGTAGTAAATAAGTATATAAAAGTTAAATTAAGAATTGAGATTTGAAATTCGAATGAAGAATCGAGTATTATTGAGTTTGAATTTGAGTTTATGTACTCATACACGTATATGTGTACGAGTATGTCATGTATGGGTTTTATCAAGACAAATTGCTTACAAATGAGTTTATTATTGAGTTTATGTACTCATACAAGTATATGTGTACGAGTATGTCATGTATGGGTTTTATCAAGACAAATTGCTTACAAATTAAATTCCATATTCATATTTGCTCTGAGTATCATATTGCTATCTCCATTGTGATAATATTATTTTAATTATAGCGGTTGTTTGCTACTGTCTGGTTAAAGACGAATTCCTTTACTAATGAATGAATTTTATACGACCTCGATGGTTTAGCGGTTTGGTACATCGCTTTATTTTTATTCACGGGTTCGATCTCTCGGACGATACAAAGATAATGTATATTAGTATTCTAACAGTAGCCTACCCATAACACAAGCTTAGCTTGAGACTCAGCGGCGCTGTGTGAATTATCCAGGGTTATTATTATATACTAGCTGTTGCCGCGACTTCGTCCGCGTGGAATTTAACTTTATTATTCTAAAAAAATTCTAAAATAAAAGTAGCCTAAGTTACTCCTTATTACATCAGCTACATGCCAACAAAAATCCCGTCAAAATTGGTCCAGCCATTACAGAGATTTTGCGGAACAAACTGATTAACAGACAGACAGACAAAAATTGTAAAAATATATATTTTGGCGTATGTACTTATATTCATATGCATGTGTTAAAAAACGGTTATTTCAATAGTACAAACAGATACTCCAATTTTATTTATACGTTTGTATTGATGAACTAAATGTGCTTGAAGCGGAGATATCAAATGTGTCTGATGAGTGAGAGGTGCTGAGGGTTTTAATGAGGAAAATACGGAGATTAAATAAAATGCGACTTATGAAAGTAACAATAAAGAATATGTCAAAGAATATTATTACAAAATTTAAAAATAATATAAAAACCTATAAAAGATTTCGCAACAGTTTTCATATTAAAATTTCAACATTTACCAACTTCATTGATCACTCCCGCTGAGATAAAAGTCGTGAATGTACATCACTATACGGATATTTATCATTTCTGTCTTAAATAAATGGAAATTTATCAAGACAAATTGCTTACAGAGATTAAATAATTCATATTTGCCGATATCATTTGCAATTGTGATAATATTATTTTAATTATAGCGGTTGTTTGCTACTGTCTTATCTGTTTGAATGAATTTTATAAAAGATCGATGTTTCACGCATCAATTTTTATTCACGCGCATTTATATTAGTGGATCTGAATTTAATCAAGCCCAGTTGGTGAAACGTTTTATTATATACGTATAATATCAGCGACTTCTACAAACATCTCTCATTCTTCAAAAATGAAAATAAAAGTAGATATTTTTATTATTTTTGTCATAAAAAAATAAAATCGTTACAGAGATTTAAAAAAACTGATAAACAGACAGTCGACAAAAATTGAAAAATATATATTTTGTATGTACTTATATTCATCTTTAAAAAACTACAATATTACAAACAGATTTTGATGTATCGATTTTTTTGAATAAATCAAATGTGTGATTCAAGAGGTGCTGAGGGTTTAATGATGTATAATACATGTACACTAAAATGCGACTTATGGTTAAAGAATATGTCAAAAATATTATTATAAAATATAAAAATAATATAAAAACATATCAAAGTCCCAACGTTTTCATATTAAAAGAACATTTACCAACTTCATTGATAACTCCCGCTGAGATAAAAGTCTGATATAAATACATAAATATTTATCATTTCTGTCGTAAATACAGAGATTTAATTTGCCGATATCATTTGCAAAATCGTAAACTCCTCTTATCTGTTTGGGTATAAAAGATCCAGTGTTTCACGCATCAATTTTATGCGCATTTAAGTGGA